GGCCCTCCTTTTGGGGCGTTTTAGGGCCGTCTCGGAGGTACCTGGGGCCTTCTCGGGGGCCTCGCTGGGCCGTCTCGGGGCTCTCTTGGAGTCTTTGTGGTCTGTCTTGGGGCTATATGTTGTGGGTTTCTGGGGCAATCTTTGGAAGCCTGACAGGGGGAAACGCGAAACCCATCCGAAAACATAAGGAAACCCATTGAATTTGCCTGCTTCGAGCCCTCCTGGAGGGCCTCCGTATCGGGGGCCTCTTGTGCCGTCTGAGGCTGGCTCGCCTTCGAGGCGTCTTGGGACCGTTTCGGAGGCTATCTTGGGCCATCTCTTGACCGTCGTGGAAGCCGACTTGTAGCCGTCTTGGGCGTGAAAACCGTGCGGAGGAACTTATTGGGCACGGGTGGCTGGCGGGATCGGCCGAAGGCTTGTGGGAAACTTCTGGAAGGAATGAGTGATTGCGAGCTTTGTGTCGAAGCACATGGACAGTGATGTAACAGCATGGGCAATAGTTAGCGGTTTTCAAGGCTTCTGCTGGAGTTGCCGCAAGCCAAAGAAGTCGGGCCAACAAGTCTATATACCCGTAAGTTGAGTACGCCAAGCACCCCGCTGCAAGGAGGAAGCGGTGGGGGATCTAGTGGCCTTCGGCCCATGCTGCCACCGTACCCGGGTCGTGGATGAGAGGCATCTTGATGTCTCTCGTGGGGCCTCTCCGCCGACGCGTCGGAGATGCGGGCCGACCTGGACCCTCACGCCGCACCTTCCGACGCGAAGGCATCGTCGAAGTCCTTGGCATCGCTTGGACGTGTGCATTTTTCCTTCGGCGAGGACCATCGAGGAGCATCCTTGATCATTCGGCGAAAAAACCACGCACAAAACCGAAAAAAGCACAGGGAATGGACGCCCGAGCGATGGGCGCTGCCCCCCGTCTTCGGGGGGGGGGGGGGCAGCGCGGGGGCGCGGAGGTGAGCCGCGAGCAGCGCGCACCGCGGGGCGCGCGGCGCGGATCCCGGCGGCCTGGGCCTGCTGGCCCCGTCGAGCAGGGCCCCGCCGGCCGCTCTCGGGGCGGGGGGGGGGGGGGGGGGGGGGGGGGGGGGGGGCCCGGAGGCGGGCGGCAGGCGCCAGGGGGTGGCGTTTTTTTCTCTCTCCCCCTCCAGCTCGGCCCTCCTCTTTTTCTCCTCCTCCTCCTCACCCTCCTCCTCCTCCTCCTCCTCCTCCTCCTCCTCCTCCTCCTCCTCCCCCTGCTGCTCCATCTTCAGGGATATTGCGAGCACTCAGCACCATCTTAAACGAGCATATGCGCAGGGAAGGTGTCAATTGGGACGGGCTCACATGAGTTGGGGACTACAGCTGCCAGCCGTACTTCAACGTGGTCTTTGCTCCGTGGCCCCTTTTGGCTCCTCAAGCGATTTATTTGCACACGTTCGCTCCGTACATCTTCCATTACCTTTGCGGTGCCGCTTGCTTACGCGAGGCGCTCATCTACGGCACTCCCTGTCACTCACAGATGCCAGCACCCCCGAGACGTTCGGCCTTGTGGCCAGGACGACAAGGACCAGGCCAAGAAGGAGCAGGGCCTGAAGGAGGTGAACGCGCTCAAGCAGAGTGAGATGACGATGCTGGGACTAGTCACGTCGGCGCTGCAGAGACTTGCGCCGTAGTGCTGGCGAGGCAAGAACAGACGGCGAACTACGCCGATCATGTGAAAACCCAGAAGGACCGCGAGCTCGGCCCACCTCACATCTGGGCCTTCGGCGGAGCACTCAAGACGTACGCGGAGGCGAAGCCCGACGGCGGTACTCCAGTGTTGCACGAGGAGCTCTTCCAGGCAAATTCGGAGTACGACAACTGTCTGATCCCTAAGAATTTCGACTTTGTGCTTAACTGTCGGGTGGAGCAGGTCTTCCGGAAAGGCATGACGAAGATTACCGTAGCTCTTGGCGACCCGACGTTCTGGATCATGCTGAACGCGGCCATTGGCAACACGGAAAGGGGCCATCCAGAAACAGGGCAAGGTTCCAGCGCCTTTCCTTGACCTTCAGACGTGGCTCGAAGATATGGCGGCGTAGTCGCCAGCAGTGAGGCTGCTTTTTGGAGCGGTGACACTCACCATATTCCAGTTGTGAAGCTGAAATGCGTCAATTTGTCGCGTGAGAACGGCAACGCTCCCGACCTCCCCCTTCTGACGGCCCAGTCCACCCGCATTGTTTTCAGGACGCCCTCCGAGTTCGAAGGCAGTCGAGCGTCTCCCTGGGCGAGCGTTCCAGGCGTGCCGTCCCGTTTGCGATTTGTCATAGATTTTCCCGCCCCCCGAAGTGTAGCACCTGGTATGTCATTCTATAGCACTATGTTGATCAGCGCGTTTGCATTATCACGGGCATGGCTCGCAAGTCGTATGCGCAAATCCAAAACAGCCGAGCTCTGTGGGCTGGGCTGTTTCGGGGTCCCTGCCGTCTCTGTTATCGTCTCTTGGACCGGGACAAACATAAGCCGTGTCTATTTTATGCAGGGCCTTCTTTTCGGGATGACGCTCTGCGGGATGCTTGAAAATGCCTCCAGCAGTCACCCCATTTGTCAATGACACTGGGGACGCGCCCTGGGGCCTAGACTATCCCGCAGGGCGCTGCCCCGTCACGTCGATGCCCGAGCCTTTGAGGACAGTTCCGCCGAGCAGGTTCACCGCAGCATCTCCAGTATGACCATTCATGGTGCGCGGCCAAACCAGGGCCTGCTGGGTGAATCGAGGTCGAGGGTCCCGCCCGCCTTCCTCCTCCTCCTCCTGCTCTTCTTCCTCCTCGTCCTCCTCCTTCTCCCGGATCAGTGGATGCCGCTAGCCCGCGGATTGAACCAAGTTTCTCATCGCGCCGCTGCGTCGGCCTGCCCGGGCGGCGCAGCCGCGCGGCATCATGGCTGGGAAGGAGTCCCAGGGCAAGGCTTGCGCGGTCTGCGTCGGACGCGGCAACTGGGCTTGGAACTGGCGTCTCGAGAGCCCGAATGGCCGGTGCGAAATCAGTGGGCAGGGCCACTTCTACCGCGACTCGTCATGGGCTCAGCGTGAGGTGGGCAAGTCGTCGCCACCTCGTGGATGGTTCCGTTCGGAGAGTGAGTTGCCCAGCCTGCCAAGGGCGGGGGGTGGCGCCAAACCTGGAGACGACTTGCAGAAGTTCCTGGAGGTGTCAGGTCACTCCACTGGCTACACTGCGCTGGCCTTGGCCCTGAAGGTGCAGGCCCAAGCGGCCGCCGCCCACCCAGTCAAGCCGAAGTGTCCCTACGCGCGGCGGCGCCAGATGGCTGCCGCTTGTGCCCAGAAGCAGATCGAACTTGACAAGGCCGCCCGGCGGCTTCTGCAGGCCGAGCAGTACCTTCTCGAGGCGCAGGAGAAACGAACGCAGGGTGCTTCGGAGCTCTTCGACGCCGACCAAGCCAGGAAGGAAGCGCTGCTCGCCGCGCAGGACAAGGGGGGCGATGCCGGTGACGTGCCGGCGGCCGATCTTACCTTCGGCATCGACCCCGGGCTCTTTCAGGGCCTCGATGAGTTCGAGGGTCTGATCAGGCGAGCCCGCGCAAGTTCCAACAGCAGCTCGAGACCGTCGCCGAGCAATCCAATCAGAAAGAGAAGGGATTTCGCGATCTCCTGGCGGCCGTGAAGGTTTCCCCCCACACGGGCCCAAGAAGAATGCAAGACAGGGGACGGAGCCGCCCCAGAAGGGGGTGGCGTGGAGGCAGGGCCAGCTCCAGCAGGCGATGGCAACCTAGCTGGAGGTGGGGGTGGCGCATCCAGCTCCTGCTCCCCCGAGACTCCTCCCATCAGCGCCGGGGGGCGCAGCCGTCAGACCGGGTCCATCGCCAAGGCCACCGCCGGGGCGAAGCGCTTGGCTGCCCAGGCCCAGGCTCCTGTTCCTCCCCAGGCTGCTGGCAGCCTTGATGCTGGGCAGCGCGTCTTGCTTAGATAACGTTGACATTTTCTTCGCTGGCATTGCGGCATGGGGTCCCGCCGCCCGTCGCTGCGTCGCTGAGAGGTTCTACTCGCGCTCAGCGGTTGCGTCGGTAGAGACGCATGGGCCCCGACGGCCTCGCCAGAATTGGGCGCGACCTCTACGTGGGCGGGTGGCGGCTCCAGCCCGTCCCTTGCCCACATCGGACCGCGGCCTCTCTGGGGCCGAGTGGGCCCGCTCGCGCAGACATGCAGATGCCGCGCCCTTCGAGGGTATGCGTCGCAGGATTAGAGAGGAAGGCCGGTCTGACCCATGTAAAATATTTGTTCGCGTTGCCGTGCACGCGAAGATTGGGGGTGCGGTAGTGATTGCAGCCTGTCTTCAGCTTGGTCTTTTGTTTCGTGCCATCGACCCTGATCTTATGTTTGCGTTGGCGGCATTCACTCGTGCTTTGAATGGCCCAGCTCTCTGCGCGGCTTGTGCTTCCCGATGTTCAGGTCGCCTGCGACGAAGGCACTGGGGGGATGTATGATCATGTAGTCTGCTGTAAGAATTGCCCTCCGCCTGTGGTCACGGCTGAGCCTTGTGTGTCCTGGAAGACACATTAGGCGCTCAATGTCAGCGTCCTCGGTGCACGCGAGGATAAGGGGGGCCGCGCGGCCCGCCGCGCCCGAGCCGCTGCCGGCCGCGCCCCGTGACCTAAGGTGAAGCCAATCCCGACGGCAAGCGGCAGCGACGATCGGCTGAGCAACTGCGGCGCCGTCAGCAGGCCCTTCCCCTGAGTTGCAGGGCGGGCGTGCTGAAGCTGTGGAGCTACGGGCTGATCGTGCAGCGGATGAGATGAGGGGGCCCTCGTTTCGTGTTTCTGTGGCTGACTGGTTTGGCTCGGTGCCCAACTTATCTGATGGCGCTTTGGGCACCGGAGGGCTGGCTACTGGATGCCCATGGCCTGGCTGCAGGCGCGGGGCAGGGCAAGGCGTCGCTGATCGAGCGGCACTCATTGGGCCTTCGGTCCAAAGGCTGCCCTGATGGTGGCACGCTGGAGGCGCGTTGCGTGGGAGCTCACATTGCGACGGCAGGCCGCTATTGTTGCAGAGGTGGCACTGGGCGCTGTCAGCTTGGAGCGAGCTCCCAGTGCCTCCGCTATGGGCGCCGGCCTAGGCTTCTTTCGTGTCTTGGGTGATGTTGATGCCATCGCAGTGGATCTTCCTGGCGCGCCTGTACTTCTTACGTCGCACGACGAGGGGGCCGTCGGCTGCGACGGGGTCGGGGCCCTTCCCCGCGGGCCCATTTCTGATGTGTCGGGGGATGTGGGGCCCATCCGTCGCGACGGGGTCGGGTGCCTTCCCCGCGGGCCCGACTTGGCAGGTGGAGTTGCGCGCGACGAGGAGGCATATGTGCCGGGGGGGGGGTGCTGGATTCGGTCAGGTGGGCCGCCGCGGGCCATGCTGTGGCGACCCCGTGGGGGCTCTGCTGAGGACTGGCAGAGCGCGCCGCCTCGCGAGGCCTCATGGGGGCCCGCGACAACTGCTCCTGCTCATCGGCTTGCTTATTGTGTCTGTCTTATGTCGGCCGATGTGGGGCCCGTCGGTAGCGACGGTGTCGGGGGCCTTCCTCGCGGGCCCGACTTGGCAGGTGGAGTTGCGCGCGACGTGGGGGCAGATGTGCTGGGGGGGGGGCCGCTGGATTCGGTCAGGTGGGCCGCCGCGGACCATGCTGTGGCGCCCCCATGGGAGCTCTGCTGAGGATGGGCAGGGCGTGCCGCGTCGCGAGGCCTCGTGGGGGCCCGCGACGGCTGCTCCTGCTCATCGGCCTGCTTGCTGTGTTTGCCTCATGTCGGCCGATGTGGGGCCCATCGGTAGCGACGGGGTCGGGGGCCTTCTCCGCGTGCCCGTCTTCGCGCACCGAGGAGGCAGCTATGCCAGAGGAGGGGCAGCTGGGTTCGGTCAGGTGGATCGCCGCGGGCCATGCTGCGGCGACCCCATTGGGGTTCAGCTTAGGACTGGCAGGGCGTGCCGCCTCGCGAGGCCACGTGGGGGCCCGCGACAGCTGCTCCAGCTCATCGGCCTGGTTACTGCGACTGTCTTATGTCGGCCGACGTGGGGCCCATCGGTAGCGACGGGGTCGGGGGCCTTCCCCGCGGGCCCGACCCGGCAGAGGAAGTTGCGTGTACCGAGGAGGCAGAGATGCTGCGAGAGGGGGCCGCTGGATTTGGCCAGGTGGACCACCGCGGACCGTGCTGTGGCGACCCCATGGGGGCTCCGCCGAGGATCGGCAAGGCGCGCCGCCTCGCGAGGCCTCTTGGGGGCCCGCGACAGCTGCTGCAGCTCGTCGGCTATGTTATTCTGTCTGTCTTCCCCGCGGACCCATGTCTGGTCTGTCGCGCGACGTGGGGCCCGTCGGTCGCGGCGGGGTCGGGGGCTTTTCCGGCGGGCCCGAGACAGTCCATCGCGCGCTGCCCGGTGGAGCAGAGCGGGACAGGCTGGCGGCCATCGTGCATGCTCGCGCCAGGCTCCGTCGACTTATTTTGGCCATCCCTGTCTTCGACCCTGAGGCCCGCCAGGTTTTCACTTGGGGAGCTGATCGCCGTGCGGGTGTCACCGCTGATCGCGACATGTGGGTCAGCGCGCCGGAGGCAGCTATCCTCCGAGTGGAGCAGGTTTCTGCAGATCGTTGTTCTTCGTTCTTTTGCAAAGCCTTGAGGCCGTTGGTCAGGTGGGCCCGCCTGAAGGCCACGCCTGGGCGCGCGCATGTGGAATGGGTGCTTGGGGGGTGGCGACTGCTCTCGTCAGGCAGTATGTTGCCCTCCGCCAGCCCAATCGTGACCTTGAGCAGGTCAACAGTTGCCTCAGTCATTTAGGCAGTCGCATCAAGGCTGCTGAGCACAATGACAAGGGCGCCTGCTTCGGGAAGAAGACCACGGCTGAGCTTGCGCAGGCGTGGTACCAGGATGCGACATCTTGCTGAGCTGGATGACGGCACTTGTGATATTTTCTAACTTAACCAGCAAGTGGACAGGCCTCGCTCAAGGTCGCGCGCTCATGGCGTCCGAGGCTAACTTCATGGCGCGGATCAGGCAGCAGTGAGAGGTCAAGTCAGGCCTTGTCCACCGACGCGCCAAGGATCCTCTGGCGCTTGGCCTGGGGGCCGCAGACAGCCTAGGTGCTGTGACCGGCGATCGTCATCTCACGGTGGAAAGCTGTCCGCGATGAGTGGGCAGGCCATGGAAAAGAAGAAGTTGGCACTGCTGCCGACGTGAGGGCCATGTTCGAGGTCCCTTGGAAGGACGCTCGTGAAGGGGCTCTTCCTGGTATTTCACATCGGGAGATGGATCGTGCATTGCAGGTCGTCTCAGCGAACCAGGCGCAGGGTGTTGCTGCTCTGGGGCCGCGCGATGTTCAGCGCCTCCCTGATACTGGGCGTCGGCAGCTCGCTGACATCCTGGACCGAGTGGAGCAAGCAGGGGTCTGGCCCGCGACCATCTCGGCAATCTTTGTGGCTGCCATCCCCAAGGGCGCAGGATGACATCGTATTTTGGGCCTCCTGCCGCGCGCCTTCAAGATATGGGGTCGAGTCAGAGGCGCGCCTTCGGCAGAGTGACGCGGGAAGAGGGGGGCTTTCTGGGGCGCTGCTATTTCGGGCGACGCGGCGCTCGGGGCTGCCTTCGCCGGGGCTCTACTCGACGAACGTGCTGCTGAGCTGCGCTTCGACTGCGCGTCGTTGTTTCTGGACCGGGCCAGCTATTGCCATTCGATCAGTTTCGTTCCCCCGATCGAGGCCAGCAAACGCACGGGATTTCCAGCCAGCGTCGCGCTGCTGGAAGTCAATGTGCATGCCTCGCTTCGACTGGCCAAGAAGAGAGGTCGCATGGCCGGCGCAGCTTTGGACCCTGGGAAGTCAGTTGTTGCGGGATTTCCTCATGGGCGGCTCGGCGCTGCTCGTCTTTCAGCGCCCAGAGCTGGACTATGGACACTCATGGAAGACCCGCTGTGCCGAACGGAAGGTGTTAAGGTCATTGTCAGTGGCGACGCGGGGGCCGTCGCTGGCTCTCTGGCCAGGTCCTTCCAGGATATGCGTGGCTGACGGTCTCCAACAAGACGCGGCTTCTGACGAGCTCCGCTGATATTGGTTCTGAACAGTTTCCGCGCTTGAGTGACCTCGGCATCCCTGTCGAGCTCGCTCGCGCGTCGACGTGGCGGGCGCCGGGGCCAGGCGGCGCGGGCAGTTTTTGAAGGGAAAGGTCACGGCAGGACGGCGCGCGTTAAGGGCGCACAGATTTTGGGCTTTCCACGGCAGTCGCAAGGTTGCCCGTGGGTTGTGGAGTACGGGTGATTTTCCAGCTTCCACCTACGGGCATCAAGTCCTTGGCCCGCCTCCATTTACCGTTCTGTTCCCTTCGACGGCAAGCCTCCCTGGCCATCGCTGGGCACTGGCGCGGCCGCTGCCCTCGCGCCCGCTGTCCAGCTCAGCGGGTCGCTGCTCGCGGAGTGGATCCGCGCGTGGGTCCTCCCAGCCAGCCACGCGCAAGCGCGTCGTCCAAATTAGGTCGCGGGTCCGCGCCAAGCTGGGTGACTGCGTCGGGTGGCGTGGCATGGAGGGGCCCTCCGCGGCCCGTCAGGCTGTGCTTGTCCACTCTGGCTGGGGTCCGTTGCGCGCCAACTGCTGGCGCCGCCACTGCCCGCGCGGTGCTAAGGATTGGTGTTTCCCTGCCTTTGGCGACCCTCGCATCAAGGGCGCGGTGCTGGGTGACGTTGGGGGGCCCCTGACGCGGCAGGGGGTGTGCGCGGCAGGGGTGGAAGGGTGCTGCTCGGCATCCCCATGGAGATGCGCTGCGCGGGGCTGACCTCGCCATGTGCAGGCCGAATTGAAGGCCCTCGCGGAAGAGGACAACAGGGGCATGTGGGGCGCGACCCCCACTGGCGGCAGGTGGGCAATGGCCTGAGCTCGCAAGCTGGGGGCCAACAGCGACGTCGACCCCGCTTGCCCGAGATGCAGGCGGCCGCCAAAACCTGCGACATCGCATTTGGGAGTGCAGGATGAATGCCAACCATGGTGATTATGCCAGCGCGGATTCGTCAATTCCTTCAGCCCTAGCGGGCGCCGATGCCGACCCCGCCCCGTGCCCCCGATGGGGCCCTTATTAGTCACCTCGTGGAGCCCCGCTTGGTTGAGGGCCCAGGCTTCGCGGACCCCGTCTGCTTGGGGACTGGGATTCTCCTCGACCTCTCCTGTCCTCTTGTGGGCAGGCCGTTGTGCCTCTTCGGGGATGGGTCTGGGGGTGAGTACGCGGCTGACCGACGCAGGCGGCGACGTGGCTCGGCAGTCGTAGCCGTGGCCCACTCTGAGCCAGGGGGCCCCCGGACTTCCGAATGGCTCCCCACGTGTGGCAGTGCTGCTTCTCTTCCATGTGGCATCCAGACCGTGCCGAGAGCGGAGCTCTTGGCCTTTCCGCTTCGCCGCTGGAGCGTACCTTTGGCCCGATCGTCTGCGCGTGCGACTGCGAGCCCGTTTTTGACTACGGGCGTTCTGTCAAACGCTGGGCCCCCAGAGCGCCCAACTCAGGACCTTTGGGCCAGGGTCCGCCGTGCTGTGCAGGGGTGGGGCCCTGGGCCATCGAGGTCGTCCGGGCGCCGTCCCAGCTGGAGGAGGGGCCTTCTAGGATTGCGTCTCCCTGGCGCCCGCGGCGACGCAGCTGCTGGCGCCGGGCCGGGGCGGGCGGCGAAGGGGGGGTGGGCTCTTTATGTCGCGCTCCCTGTCCCTGAGACGGTCTGTTATGCTGTTATTGCAGCGCTCGCTCGCAAGAGGGCCAGGCGGGCCATGACTGATGCGATCGACTCTGGTCCTGCCAACGCACCGGTTATCCAGGGGTGTCGCTGAAGGGAACTCCAGGTTGGCTAAAGCTCTGCAGCAGAGCTCGCGCAGGCTAATCCGTCTTGAGCAAGATCGTTTCCTCTGCCAGGCCTGTCGTGAGTTGGTTATTGGCAGAGGCGTCCTAACCTTGGCCCTGGCCCAGTGCCGCGCGGTGCCGTCTCAGGCTGTCTGCGCGGCTGAGTCCGCTCCTGATTTGGCGTCGGCTCCTTCGGTGGCTGTGCCACCCCCCGCCGCCCCGGGCCAATTTTCTTGCGATGGCTTAGCGAGGCTGGTTGGCGAAGCCAAGGTTGGATGCAAGCTGCTGCACAGGAGCCATGTTTTGCACGAGTGGTCCATGTCTGGCCTTAAGTTTTGCTCTGTGTGCGGGGCCACCTGTACCTTGGACCCCTGGCAGCTGCTGCGCGAATGCCGTGAACCCTCCCTCAGAGGGCTCGAGAACCTCAGGAAGGTGGAGGGGGCTTTTCCCCTCGTGCCGAGGCCCTCCTGCGGCCATCCTTGGTGCTCAGTGTGCTGCGGCCGCAGGGGGCGCGCCTTGCCCAGGGGCCCCTCAGGGTGCCCCCCCGTGTGTCGAAGTAGATGAACATTTGCGCTATCGCGCCCTGCCTGATGTCGGAGTTTCCAGAGGAGTTCCGGGGGCCTGCGAGTCCCACATGTGCTCGGGGAGTGGTCAAGGACGGGGGGGGGTGGAAGAGCGGCGGTCTGGAGCGGACGGGATTGAAAATATACGGATTCCTCCTCTTGCTGCCGTCCCCCGCCGCCCCCCCCCATTTCCATCTCCAGGCGCAGGACCGCGAGCGCCTCCGCCTCCTCCTCCTCCTCTTCCTCTTCCTCCGACTAGCTTGTTCCCACATTTGAGTGGTTGTTCTCCTGTGATCCCGTAGTCCCCTCCTCCCCCTCCTCCTCCTCCTCTTCCTCTTTTCCCCCCTCCTCCTCTTCCTCCTTCTCCTCGTCCTCCTCCGTCCATCTCGTTATCGTCCTCCTCCTTCTCCTCCTTGCCCTCCTTCTCTTCTTCTTATTCTTCTTCTTCCTCATCATCTTCTTCTTCTTCTTCTTATTCTTCTTCTTTTTCTTCGCTTCTTCTTCTTCTTTCCCGTCCTCCTCGTCCTCCTCCTTTTCCTCCTCGTTTTTTCTCCTTTTCCCCCTCCTCCTCCTCCCCCTCTTTTTCCTCCTCTTCACGTTCCTCCTCCTCCTCCTCCTCCGCCCCCTCCTCCTCTCCTCCTCCTCCTCCTCCTCCTCCTCCTCCTCCTCCTCTCGCTGTTCCCCTTCATCCTCGTCCTCCTCCTCCTCCTCCTCCTCCTCCTCCTCCTCCCTCCTCCTCCTCCTCCTCCTCCCCTCCTCCTCCTCCCCTCCCCCCCCCTCCCCCCCCCTCTTCCTCCCTCCTCCCGCGCGGCCCCTGAAGTCCCAAGTCGGGAGGGCCTCCCGGATCTCTCGGCGAGCGCGGGCGCGCGCCGCCTGCCCGCTCGCGCGCCCGACGCTCTCGCCTTGCCGCCGCCCCGCGGTCGCACCGCGGCGCAGCAGCGGCCAGCTGGTGCAGCAGCCTGGCCAAACCCAGCCGCCGCCACCGCCGCCGCCGCGTGGCGCCCTCCTTCCTTCCTTCCCTCCTTCCACTTCGTCCTCTCTCCTTCCCTCGTTGCTTTCCCCCCCCCCCCCCCCCATCTCCCTCCTTGCCCCCCTTTTTCCCTCCCTCCCTCCCTTCTCCGCTCTTTCCCTCCTCCCTCGTTCCTCCCTCCCCCCGGCGCCCTTCCTCCGTTTTCCCTCGTCTCCCCGAGGCGCGGAGCTGGTGCCGGCCCTCCAGGAGCAGCTCATCCATGTGCAGCACATTAATCGGACAGCCGCGAGCGAGGGTGTCGAACCCAGGGCTTGGGATGACGAGGACGAGGGCGAGGGCGAGGGAGGATGGGCGGGGGCAGGGGATTCGATGACGACGAACAAAAAGACATCCAGTGACGAGGATGCTTGGGAGGAGTGGGGAGAGGAGGATAAGGAGGATGAGGAGGAAGAGGATGGGTATGGGGATGGGGATGGGGGTGAGGATGACGATGATGATGATGATGATGATGATGATGATGATGATGATGATGATGATGATGGTGGTGGTGGTGGTGGTGGTGGTGGTGATGATGATGATGATGCTGATGATGCTGCTATGCTGCTGATGATGATGATGATGATGATGATGATGATGATGATGATGATGATGATGATGATGATGATGATGACTCTGATGATGATGATGATGATGATGATGAGGAGGAGGAGGAGGAGGAGGAGGAGGAGGAGGAGGATGATGAGGAGGAGGATGAGGAGGAGGATGAGGAGGAAGAGGAAAATGAGGAGGAAGATGAGGAGGAGGTGTCTTGGCTGTGTGTTCCTTGTATCTTCCTGGACACTTACATTAAGAAAGCCCAGTACCACAAGCAGCCCGCAGCTTTGGAGCTTTGGCGCACGAGCGGCTGTTAATCCGAGTGCCACAACGTCGCGGTACACTCCGAAGCAAAAACAGCAGATCCCTACAGATCTCTTGTGGTGTGGGACGCATCACCACAGATACAATAACAACGCGCAACAGAGTTTCAATGCTCTGGGGACATGCCGGAGCAGCCGCCTCAACTACACTTGGAAGTTGCTGCGGAATCGCGTCCAGTACGCGAACGTCCCGGGCACTGGACTGGGATACATTTGGGGACAAAGTATTTTCGAATACGGCGATCACATTGAATCGGCGTCCAGAGGACCTCAGTTGCCCGAGGCTGTCAATGACTCAATGCGACGGCAATCCAACATGTTGACGCCGCACACCAGACACATGTACTCATGGGGAAACTACAGGCCAGCAGGTCCAGACCAGACTGCCTGGAGTAGTACCGTCATCGATTTATATATTAACGGCGAAGAGCCAAATATCTATGCATACAAAAGGGTGCAACGCCGCCGAAACCAGATAGTCCATGAGCGGCGAAGCGCAGATTTTTCAAGTGCGGCATCTGAAATCTGCGGTATCGTGTGGGGACGACGACGATCATGCAGACAGAGGTGATGGACCATTTCGCAATTCATTGAGATGCAATGGTTGCCACGCACTTTACAACAGGAAAATGGAAGCTAATTCAAACCATGGATTAGCGGTGCTTGCCAGAGTCGTGTGCGAATCTGTTCGCGCGCACAAGCCCATCGGCGTTTGTTGGGAAGGACGATCATATGGAGCGAGCATGCAGACGAGGAGTTGAAAGAAACTGCCGGCAGCGAGCTACATGACGTGGAAGTCTTTGGAGTGCAGAAACATATTCAATTTTGTACGCATGTGGACAAGACTGAACATCCCACCCAGACCAACGATCACTCCGATTTTTTGACAACGTACCGCAATTATCCCAAGGCGGACATGGTCCAGAACCGCTCGAAAACCGAGAAGTGACGGCGTGAATCATGTTCTGGGTTCTGCCCTGCAGCATCTTCACGCTGAACGACAAGAGCGACAAGCAACGCGTTCTGTTCCGCAGCAAAAAAGAGACATCGGTAAGACAACCCAGCTATGTGCCCAGCTACACGCGGACGCTGTGCTGTCCGCAGGTATCCAGAAATCGAGACGCAAGCCAGGAAAATTCGTCTCAGGCTTTATCGCTGCACAGTCGTGGGCAGAAGATGGCCAGCGCGGCTGCAGTTCACGCGTCGATGCGAGGGCCAGTTGCGCTGGCGACGACTAGAGATATTTACTTTTCCTAGACAATCGCATCTAGATGCAGCTGCATTCACCGCGACACCATGTGGTACCCATGAATGCCTCATTCTTCAAGCATGCGATCATGGCTTTTGCGCGCGCCCCGCGCGCGCGACGCCCGGGGTCCGTGGGCGCTGCTGGGGGCTCGCAGAACCGCCGACGTTTGGGGGCCCAGCGCCGCGCTGCTGAGCAGCAACGGCCGCGCGGCCTGCCCTGCTATCCAGTGGATTGGGGGCCGAGATGGAGGGGGGGGGGGGGGGGGCGAAAGCGGGAACGGCGCAGCGATTCGCCGCGCGATCGCGCAGACGTGCGCGCGCCATCCACGCTCTATTTTTGCGCAGGGGGAGGTGCGCGTAGTCAGCAGAAAAGGAAGGACCTTGCGACGGGTTTGATTATGCAACCACTTCCGGGCAGTCGTGCTGATGCGCCGTTGACTGCGGTGCGCGGAAGACTTGCAAAGTGTTGGCCGATGCAGCAGGCCATCTAAGTACAATTGCAGAGTTCGAGCGCGCGATGCATGTCGCCACTGTCGTAAACGACGTCTTGCAGCGCAATGAGACCGAGCTCAGAGATCCCGGACTTGCAAAGCGGTTCCGAGCGCAACTGGACGAGGCAGACGCTTCGGACTGGAGCGCCGACTTGAGCACGGGACAGCTGGCACGTTTCAGTAAGCCGCCAGACACGTGCACCGCGCATCTGTTGCAGCGCCCACCATGGGCGGAATTTCAACCGCGGCTATGGTGCTCGCCTGACAGCGTGGACAATTGTAGTGTGCGCCGCGAGTCTACTACGCGGGATCCTAGGAATTGGCATGCTCACGCATTGCGGACTGCAACATAATTACTTCGTCTCGGGCAGTGCATGGAACGCCTAGCCCGTCTACTGGTGGGGGCCAGCAGGCGAGGCCGAAACGGGAAAATTCAACGGGGATCGTGTTGGCAGAGATTACCTAACAGCGAAGATGGATAGGTTTCTAGTAGTGTCAAAAGATAGCATCTTGACGCCCCAGGGGGGTCTGGGCGGGATCCGGACAGAACCGGACAAAACCGGCCGCCCCAGGAATCCTTAAGAATCTTTTTGAGAATTCTTAGGAATCCTTCGAATCCATTCCCAGAACACCACTCCCAGGCCACATTTTGAATGCCCGGAGCCAGCTGTAGGCCATTTCGTGTTCTTCGTCTTCCCAGAACACCACCCCCAGGCCACATTTTGAGTGCCTGGGCCTAACTGTAGGCCACTTCGTGTTCTTCGTCTTCCCAGGGCACCACCCCCAGGCCACATTTTATTGTTCAATGCCCGGAACCAGCTGTAGGCCACCTCGTGTTCTTCGTGTTCCCAGAACTCCATTCCCAGGCCACATTTCGAATACCCGGAGCCAACTGTAGGCCACTTCGTGTTCTTCGTGTTCCCAGAACACCATTCCCAGGCCACATTTTGAATGCCCGGAGCCAACTGTAGGCCACTTCGTGTTTTCCGTGTTCCAGGAACACCAGTCCTGTACCATATTGATTGCTCGGAGCCAGCTGTGGGCAACTTCGTGATCTTCGTGCTCCCAGAACACCAGTCCTGTGCCATATTTTGAATGCCCGAGCTGAGGCAGGCTAAGGCCGAGGCAGGCTGAGGCCGAGGCAGGCTGTGCCTGAGGCTGACGCACGCCGAAGCAGGCCAAGGCTGAGGCTGAGGCAGGCTGAGGCTGAGGCAGGCTGAGGCTGAGGCTGACGCAGGCTGAGGCCGAGGCAGGCTGAAGTTGAGGCTGAGGCAGGCTGAGGCTGAGGCAGGCTGAGACTGAGGCTGAGGCAGGCTGAGGCTGAGGCTGAGGCTGTGGCAGGCTGAGGCTGAGAGGCTGACGCTGAGGCTGAGGCAGGCTGAGACTGAGGCTGAGGCCGGGGCAGGCTGCGGCTGAGGCTGAGGCAAGCTGAGGCAGGCTGAGGCTGACGCCGAAGCTGAGGCAGGCTGAGGCTGAGGCTGTGGCTGAGGCTGAGGGAAGATGCGGCTGAGGCTGGCTGAGGCTGAGGCTGATGCAGGCTGAGGCTGAGGCAGGCTGAGGCTGAGGCAAAGGCTGAGGCTGAGGCTGAGGCCGAGGCAGGCTGAGGATGAGGCCGAGGTAAGCCGAGGCAGGCTGAGGCTAAGGTTGAGGCTGATGCTGAGGCAGGCTGAGGCCGAGACAGGCTGAGGCTGAGGCTGAGGCAGGCTGAGGCTGAGGCAGGCTGAGGCTGAGACCGTGGCAGGCTCTGGGGGCTGAGGCAGGGTGAGGCTGAGGTAGGCTGAGACTGAGGCTGGGGCAGGCTCAGGCTGAGGCTGAGGCTGATGCAGGCTGATGCAGGCTGAGGCTGAGAGGCTGACGCTGAGGCTGAGGCAGAGGCTGAGGCCGAGGCAGGCTGAGGCTGAGGCTGAGGCATGCCGAGGCAGGCTGAGGCTGAGGCTGAAGCTGAGGCAAGCTGAGGCTGAGGCTGAGGCAGTGGCTGAGGCTGAGGCAAGCTGCGGCTGAGGCAGGCTGAGCCTGAGGCTGATGCAGGCTGAGGCTGAGGCAGGCTGCGGCTGAGGCCGAGGCAGGCTGAGGCTGAGGCTGAGGCTGATGCAGGCTGAGGCTGAGAGGCTGACGCTGAGGCTGAGGCAGGCTGAGGCTGAGGTTGAGGCCGAGGCAGGCTGCGGCTGAGGCTGAGGCAAGCTGAGGCAGGCTGAGGCTGACGCTGAAGCTGAGGCAGGCTGAGGCTGAGGCTGTGGCTGAGGCTGAGGGAAGCTGCGGCTGAGGCAGGCTGAGGCTGAGGCTGATGCAGGCTGAGGCTGAGGCTGAGGCTGTGGCTGAAGCTGAGGCAGGCTGAGGCTGAGGCAGGCTGAGGCTGAGGCTGATGCAGGCTGCGGCTGAGGCATGCTGAGGCTGAGGCTGAGGCAGGCTGAGGCAGAGGCATGCTGAGGCCGAGGCAGGCTGAGGCTGAGGCCGAGGCAAGCCGAGGCAGGCTGAGGCTGATAATGAGGCTGATGCTGAGGCAGGCTGAGGCTGAGGCAGGCTGAGGCTGAGGCTGAGGCAGGCTGAGGCTGAGGCCGGGGCAGGCTCAGGAGGCTGAGGCAGGCTGAGGCTGAGGCAGGCTGAGACTGAGGCTGAGGCAGGCTGAGGCTTTGGCTGAGGCTGATGAGGCTGAGGCTACGGATTCCTAAGGATGCCTAAGGATGCCTTAGGAATCCCTAGGAATCCTTCGGAATCCATGAGATCCTAAGGCCGTTGCCACTGCGACTGTCATTGCGAATGCGACTGCGACTGCGAGAACAGCAGAATTCTACAACTGGATTCTCACCTGAATCTTAAGGGGAATGCTTCCAGATATGCTTCTACACATCGCTGTTAGGTTGCTTTGCCGGGATAGTGGTACTTTTGGAGGATCACTCGTTTTGTCCTGTCTGAATTAGCGAAGAACGACCGACGCGAACGCCGCAGCGCAACGCGTGCTCAGCTCGCCGAGGCGGCGAGCGCGGGCGGCGCCGGAGATCCCCGGGCGGTTTCGCGCGGACTATTTCGAGCGGCGGGGTGCAATATGAAAGTGTCAAGCAGCGCAGACTGCGCCAGTGCGCCGCGACGGGCGCGCGCGCCCCGATGCAGGAGGGCGGGAAATCGGGCCAGCGCAAGATGCATCTCTTTACTCAGCGAGCAAGCTCAGGTCGTGGAGTGGGCGGAGCCGAAGGGCCCGATTCAAGACCAACGCCGGGTGTTTCACTGCGCGCGCTGGCAGCGGCGTCGACCCCGGCGCGGTGATGCCCGTGGGCTCCGTTTGCGCCGCGGGCTAAGGGGGCCTTGATATCGCGCTGCAGGACTAGGGGAGGCTGCGCAACGATCTGGGCGTCGCGGCCGCGCGGCCGGCGGCGCGACGCTTGCGCCCGCTTCGTGCGGGGATGGCGCTGCGAAGGTTCCTGCGCGCAAGAGGAGTTCTCGTTGCAGAGGTGTGCGACGCCGAGGTGCGCTCGTCAATTTTCTCGCGCGCTACAGATCTGTCCTGGCGGGCTCCAACGCCCGCAGTCATCGCTGCGCCGACGTCGGGCCGAGGCTAGAAAGGGCCCGCTGGGATGCGCATCTTGACAGGGTGCATGCGCGGCGGCCAAAGCAGCAGAGAAATTGCCGTGGCGACTCGCGTCTTGAGGTCTTGGAACTCGATGGCGATGTCACGCGCTACAAGTCGCGGCGTCGCTAATGCCGCCCCGCGACATCAAGGACGCATGCGACGCTATCGTCAGAGAAGTTGTGTTACAAATGCAGGCATGATCAGACATGCTCCAGGACCAGCCGAGCACCTGCGGCATGCCAGTAGAGGGAGCTTGATTAGTCGAACTGCCACTTGAGAACTCAATTCTCACGGATAACGCGCTCACCGCACACGGTATTAATGTTGGTACAACCACGCCTAGAAATATATGTTTCACGTTTAAGGGGCCGCCCGCAGTTGCGAGGGCCGTTGCAGGATCTCGGCTAGGCGCAAGCCTTTCATTTAGACTTCATCTTCTGCGCGCTGTCCGCAGAGGCGCTCGCGCCTGCGCGGTCCAGAACGGCGGGGCCGGATCTAGTCAGAAGGTCGAGAGATCCCGCGCAATCGCCCAGTGCAAGAGCCGCCCTCCAGTGGTCCGCGACAGCGCAGATTCAGACGATTTTGTTCCTTGCGCTCTGACAGACGATAAGGCCATCATTGGGGTTGACATCGCTGGACAGATCGCGGCGGTGCATGATGGGCTACGAGAACACGCGCGAACGCCTAGATGCGAACGTGGCGAATCACACATCCTGGTCTGTGTGCGTTGCTGGGTTTCCAGAGCAGCGAAGTTACTCAACGCATGAAAAGGTTGACTCGTACGCAATATGCATATCTCGTTATAGATAGTGCTACAGAAGCGAAGCACCTCGGGCATCTAGGACTCGGGCGACTGCCTGTGGCCAGACATGCGATATGGACAACTCCAGACAGCGGAAGCATCTACGCCCTTTCCGCCGTGCAGTGTTCACCCAGAACAAAATCAGAGAGAAAGGGCCTTGTCCAGCTTTCGGGCGCCCTGCCCCTGTCAAGACTTACGCGCGCTGCAGGAATTCGGGCGAGGGCCACAGTCCGCGCCGCGGACATGGAGATCGGGGCAATGCGACCGCTGGCAGCCACGCGCTGGACAACGTCGTCAGATTAAATGTGGAAAATCTGCAGAGCATCATACGGCTCAGATATTATTTCAGATTCCCAGCATGGATCTCGAAATTATCATGCGCGCTGGATGTTCCACATCGCCAGTGCGGCGTATTTGCGGCGCAACTGCATGTTTTGAACTGCTGAGGAGATGTCATGATGCGGCGTCGCAGAAAATTTGTCGGCGTGCAAGCGTGGGCCGCGCGGACCATTGCAGACCGCGGTGAGGCTACCAGGCGTCGTGAAGTTCTCCGGACAGCCGCGGCGCAATGGGCGGATGCGGCCGTTCGAGGAGGCCTTGGCGGCGCCGATGAGCGCGGGCCAGGGCCCCGACATCGGCGGCCTCAAGTGCGTGCTGCAGCTGCGACTACGGCGAGAAGAGCTTGGGGCAGATCGTTCTACATGGCCACTCCACCTGCCGCATCAAATGCAACAGCGAGAACCGAACCTGCAGTGCGACCCAGTTTTCGCTGCATCATGCGGGTGCGCGGTGCGCCCGCGCAGATCAGATGGCACATCCGCCGCGGCGGGTTGCTGCGACGACCAGGATGAGACCGTCGGCAAGCGAGTTCTCGACCTCCTCCAGCCGATGGATATGGCGCGCCGTACTGTCATCGACGACGAGTGCAGCGTCGTGGGTATCGACTGTGAAACCGAAGGGGTAGCGTTCTGCAGCGCCGACGCCAAGCGCAATGTCGAAACAGCAATGGGCTGAGCACCGTGGCTCGTACTACTATATGAGCAGTGCCTGCGCCTCGGGCGCGCTCCATCCCTCGAGGTATCGCCGCCTTCTGTGCGCGTGCATCCTGCGCGATGCCTGACTTCGCGCGCGCCGCTGTCGGCTCATCCTCCATCGCTCCCAACCTAGTCGAGCTTTGCAAGGCGCGATGGAGCACGACTGATGGCTCGCCTCCTTGTGTTCGCACAACGTACACCTACCGAGGTATTACTTTTGATTGGCCTTGGGGCGCAAGGCCACAATAACCTCGCCAGGGTCGGCGCATGCCGATACCTCAGCGAGACAGTCACTCGATGCTGGCGCGCAGCTACCTGATCGCGGAGACGCATCCTCGTGACTCGGCCGTGCGCTTCTACTACGACCTTGCTTGGGGCCCTACCTCCATGCAGAACTACGTCACGTTGGATGTTGCTACGCCTGCCGTCCGCGACCTTGAGCGCGCCGAGATCTACAGGCAAGTGTGTTCCGAAAGCGACCAAGCGCCAAGCCCATTCACGCATATCAAAGTCGTTTGCATGAATCACCTTGACGAGGAGCTACCCGACGACTGGAACTTACACTATCACGCAAACTGTACTGATGGTTCAAACCGAGACATTCCTTGCTGGATCAGCTTGGCAAGTCGACGATCGCAGAATGCTACAACGCAATGGATTTACCATCGCCCACGGAGGGGTACACAAGCGCGTGCGCGGCGACTCATACGATGTACCACAGTACGCCTACATACGGTACATTTTCCCATGCGCCGTCTATTGCGTTCCGGACAAGGGTATTACATGTTCTTCGGTGCATTCAACAGGCACTACGTCTCGCCCAGTTCTTGAGCGTTGGGCTGCAGGATGGTTTCGCGGCCTCCTTTTCCTCTTCCTTCTCCTCCTCCCCCTCCCCATTCCGCCGACATGCAATCAGGTCCTCCGACGGTGCTGGAGGGCCTCCGCGGCCGAGGCGGCGGTCGCCCGAGCGCGGGCGCCGCGACAAAGGCGCGGACAAGGGGTCGCTTCCGCAGCGCTGCGAGAGAGGTGGAGGGATTGGGAGGTGGACGAGGACGAGGATGATACATTCAATGGGTGACTACTAAAAGTTCTTGGGTGGGGGGGATAAGGGAGGAATGGGGAAGAGGACGAATGTAAGAGGATGTCCAGGGACGGATAAAAGAGTAGGGTTGGGAGGAATGCGTTTAGAACGATGATGATGGAGGTTCTTGGTGTCCTGCGGCTTTGGGGGGCTTCCACGGTGCCTCATTGGGGGGCTTTCGGGACGTTTTCGGTGGGGCGGTCATTGGCACGTGGCCCAACATTCGGTGACGCACCAACACGGCGTATCAAACATGGCGCCATGAACTGTTCGTTTGGTTTGTGGGCCCAGACAAGATCACGCGTCAAACCCGGGAAAGTCACAAAATGCGCGGCAAGTTGGGGGCTCGGGCCATTCAGCGACCACAACAGCATGCGCCTTGAGGCATTCCATATGCTCAGGGCACGGTGGCGATGGTATTCGGCTTGCGGAACAGGAGGGTGAAGAGGAAAAGGAGGAAACGGAAGAGGAGGGGGAGGAGGAGGAACACGGAACGATTTCCGCTTCCGCCTCCGACGATTATCGTTTGTCAAGTATGCATGGACATTCGGTCACATGTTGCCGACATGGAACCTAATCAGACGATGTGGCGGGGGAGTGGAATGTGTGGTGTATTATGAAACATCAAATTTGCGTTTTGCATCAAGTGTTGAATGGAGGACCGCGAAGTTGGACGTTGTAGTCTCCCAGGCTAATGTGAACTAGCGTGAATTATTTAATCGCTTCGCTCATGCCGCCGGCCCTGGAGCCCTCTTTAGGGCCTCTTGGGGGCCTCTTGGGGACCTCTTGGGAGTCTCTTGGGGCTCCTTGGCGGCGTTTTGGAGGCCCCCAGGGCCTCTTGGGGGGCTCTTGGGGGTAGTCGATTGCGGCTCCCCCCTCGGAGGCCACGATCCTCGTCAGGGGTGTCGAAAAATACCCTCCCCTGGAGTTGTCTGGTGGCTTCTCCCGGGCTTCTCTCGGGACCTTGCCGGGGTACTTTTCGTCCGGGGGCCCCCAGGGGCCGCTCCGCGCGCGCGAACTAGAAATATTGTTAACAAGTTACCGGAGATCTTAGCACGCCTCTGGCCCGTTGGGCCGGCGAATTGGTACCCGTGGCCCGCGAATGTCCACCAACCCATCCAGACATGACTCGCAGGCGAGTTGGCAATGGACGGGAAGGTGGCGAACAATACGGGAACAACCACAGGGTACTCTTGTGACGTGGAAGGTTGTGCCAGCCCGAGCGGCATTCGGTTGAACCCAGTTCTCCACAAACCCTGTCAGAAACGGTACTTGGGGGAGTTGCGTTGACCAGCCAATTGTGGGAACATGCAGTGGAACAGTAGAAACTGGCGGCAGCCGTCGAACCAAATATCGGGCTCCGACTTAGCAGGCCCAGGAACCAACCATCATCAATGCTCCCGATGATGTCTCGATATGGGAGCCTCTTTGCAGGTTATTCGTGCCGTCTCGGGGCCCTCAGTGGGCTATTTGGAGCCCTTCGGCCCTTGTTGGGGCTTCGAACGGGCCTCCACTGGGGCTTTGGATGTCGTTTTTGGGGCCATCTCGGAGGCCATCGATCCAAGGACAGGGGTTCTTAGTTCCCTCTTCCCGTCGAAGGCGGAATCATGATATCTTGGGGCCCTCTTGGGACGCTCTTGGGGCTCTTATGGGTCCGTTTTGTGACTCTCCTGCGCCCTGCCCTACTTTGGGTTCTCTTGGGCGACGTCGGAGCCGTAATGAGGCCCCTGGAACAGATCGCAACCCAAAAGGCGAGACGGCAACATTTTTTTAAATTTATTTAAATAAAAAACAAGAAAACATCGTTTTATGTAGACAACGCGCGTAACATTTTTTTTATCACACGCGCATTTCTCTGCCACGCGCATTTCTGTAGGTAACCCCGCACATTTCTCTGCCACGCGCACAACTTTTTATCTTGCCAATGCGCCGTCTGTGCGCCAGGCTTGACTGACTGTAGGTTTGGACGGGGAACGAGCCATTCGGGGGCCTGAGTCGGAGACTCTTGCCACTTGGAGCCGTCTTGGGGGCGACCTCCTGGGCCTCTTGCAGGCATGTTCGAGGCTGCCTTCGACCATCTTGGGCTGTCCTTTGCCATTATGGAGGTCATATTGGGCTATCTGGGGCCATCTCGGAGTCGTCGTGGGCAAGGGAAGCACACGACAACCCCTCGAGGGTGGAGAGTTCCAGACCCATGGAGAGGGAGTAGAGGTACACATTTCCCCCGAAGAGGAAGAAGGACTTTGGAATCATTAATTCGCTGACCCAACTACGCCCAGAGGGCTGGTGGGATTCGGATTAGTGGGGAGGAACTCTCGGAGCCTCATTTGGGGGCTCCCTTGGGGCTCTTCTGACCGTCTTTCGGGCGCTTGTGGGGCCACCCGTCCTGAGTTTGCGTTGCCCCTCTCGGGCCCTCCTGGGCTCTGTTGCGCTAATCTTGAAGTCGCTGATGCACGTCGGAAACGGAAGGGCTAGACGACGAGTCTGTTCGAACACGTTTCGGTGTTTCCCCGATTCGGCTCTGCCTGCGGGTTTTCGTCTGCGCGTGAAAGACAACGGTGGCACCCAACGCCTTTCGACAACGGTGAAAGACAACGGTGGGCACGGTGCCTTTCGCCAATCTGATCGGGGTTTGTCGGGGCTGCTCGGGCCTGGTCGGGGTGCGGAGCACTTTCAGAGGCGGCCCCCCGCGCTGCTCCGGCTTGCTCTGGGTAAGCAATTGCAGGCAGTGCCAAGCGATGCCAAGCAATCCCAAGCGACGATTCTAAGCGACGCCACGCAACGCCAAGCAACGCCAAGAAGTGCCAGTCAATGCCAAGCAACGCCAAATAATGCCAAGCAATGCGAAGCAATGCCAAGCAATGTCAAGCAACGCCAGACCATGGGGAAGTTCTCCGGTGATTCCGCGGTCACCTCAAGCCATCTTGGGGTCGTCTTGGGGCCTTTTGAAGGTATGCTAGATGTCATCTTGGGCCAACTTGGATCAACGCCCAGAGGGATAGTGGGGTTTTATTGCTGCATACATTCGTCGTCACGCTCGTTTCCACTGACAGACACCCGTGAGATCATGTCCGCTCTCTGGCCATCCGTGAGGGTTGATTTTGGCTCAGGGAGTGTATTTACTTCGCTTGCCCGCGCCCATAACGCTGTGCAGCCGCTGCTGGCGTGCCGATGGCCGACAAGGCGGGGCTGGTGGATCAGGTCAAAATCATACAACGGACCGACCCAGAGTCGAAGCAGGCCTGGTGGGACTACTGCGACCACCACCTCGGCGGCGTCAAGGACCCCAACAGGCACGACGCTGGCACGCTCGGCGAGTTCGTGGCCTTGTATAACAGCTAGAGAACCTGAACACGGCATGAGCATGATCTTCTGGAGGTGCGCGTGGATTTCTTGGGTCGGCGCTGCCCCCCCCCCTCCCCGCACCCTTGGCGACGCCTCTGGTGCCGCCCCTGGCGTGCCTTGCGCGCCAGGTCGGGGCTGCGGGCAGGGAGGCCCAGCACCGCTCCGCGAAGGCCGCGCGGACCTCTGGCGGCGCGTGCTCGTGCCGTTTCCGCTTCCGGTTCTCTCACGGCGGCGGCGCCGCGGGCGTCAGCGGGAGCCTCGGCGGAGCTGCCGTCGCCAGCGGCGGCGGGGCCAAGGGCCCGCACGGCTGGGGCGCGGGCAGGGGCGGCGGGGCCAGGGCCCCGGGCGGCTGGGGCGGCTGCCCGTGGAGCGACCGCGGGCGCGCCCGAACTCGGGAGGGGGGGGGGGGGCAGGGGACCAGAGGAGGAGGACATCTTGATGCCGCTGTCCTTCCCCCGTCGCCACGGCCGGATTCGCTTCGGGCTTGTGGCCAGACCGAGCCCTGGGGAGGTCTGGGAAGCAGCGGCATCAGCACCTCCTCGAAGCCCCCCCCCCCCCCGGCTGGGGCCTGGCCAGGTCGGTTCCAATCCCAGTAGCGGCTGGGACTGGGTTTGAGCCTGGCCAGGCCACTTCACGTCTCAGCTGCGGTTGGATTCTGGCTGGAGTTTGGCCAGGTCGTGCCTGGGGCAGGGGGGGAGACTCGGACGCAGCAGCAGCAGCAGCAGCAGCAGCAGCAGCAGCAGCAGCAGCAGCAGTCTCGGAGCGCCGTGCCGAGGGCGGAGGGGGGTAGGAGCTTCTGGGAGCCGGAGCTGATTCCGATGCCCTTCCCTCGCTCTCGCTCTTCCGGGGCTCCATGGGGGGGCCTCCCCCCGCCGCGGCCGAGCGCTCGCCTCGGAGTGCCGGCCAGGATATACCTCCCAAGAGAGAGGCCCAGAGGGCGTGGGCATTTTCTGCTCCCTTGTTCCTCCGCCTGGGGCACCTCCTGCATCTTCCCCTTCCGCACCTTCCGCGCGGCAGGCGCCGAGGTGCCGCGGCCACCGCCGCGGCCGCAGCCGCGGCCACCGGCATCGCGGCGGCACTTCCCGCGCGGAAGGTGCGGAAGCTGCAGGTCGACGGTGTGTCAGGCATCCCCAAGATGTGAGAGACTCATTCCAGAGGGGCCCCCTGAGCGTTCCGGGACACGCTTGGGAGGGCCGCGGCGTTCGCCCGATGCATCCATCCGTTGGGATTCGCTGGCTCTCGGGGGCCCTCGAGTTGTTCGTGCGTGCCCAATCTGTTCTTAAGTCGGGCCTGTCCCTCTACAGGAGGAATATTCAAAAATAGCTAACTTGGGGCATTGTTTGGGTATTTTTGTTTTTATTCCAAAATCCCCCTGTAGGAGGACAGGCCCGACTTAAATCTGATCGTGTCCTGTGAGTGGCAGCGTCTCCCGTTTTGCCCGGCGCGTCCTCCCGGCCTCCCTTAAAAAGGGGGGCCACAGGGGCTGGGCGGAGCGCGCGTTTCAGGGAAGGCCGGCCGTGCGTCGGAGCTGCTCTGCTTCCCGTCCTCCCCTCCCGCCCTTCTCCCCCTCCCTCCTCCCCCTCCCTCCATCCCTGCACCCTGGGCGATGCTTCAGAAAGATTAAGTTTTCGGCCAGAGTCTCGATTGTCTTTACTGTTTCCATGGGAATCCTAAGATTTCGACAGACATTCTGGGTTTTGATTCAGATTCTGAGACTCTGAATTCTTTACGCTTCGCGTATCCCCACCAGCCCATCTCACAACAGCAACTCATGCGAAGCATACCGACAGTCGTGTTTTTCAGGCGTGTGTCCGTTTGGCCCCGCATATCTCCCCTGTTCCTCCTTCCTCCCGCCTCCTTGTACATCCTCCTTGTGGGGGGAGCGGGGGAAGGACGAGGCGGAGGAGGAGGGAGAGAAAGCGCTCCTCGTGATTTGAGTCGTTTGGGGTTTCTCGTCCTGGTGTGAGTCGTTCGGGCCCTTCTTCCTGGTGTGAGTCGTTCGGGCTCTTCGTGGTGTGAGTCGTTCGGGCTCTTCGTCCTGGTGTGAGTCGTTCGGGCTTCTCGTGGTGTGAGTTGTTCGGGCCCCTCATCCTGGTGTGAGTCGTTCGGGCCCCTCCTCCTGGTGTGACTCGTTCGGGCTCCTCGTGGTGTGAGTCGTTCGGGGCCCGTCGTGGTGTGAGTCGTTCGGGCTCCTCGTGGTGTGAGTCGTTCGGGCGCCTCGTCCTGGTGTGAGTCGTTCGGGCCCCTCCTTGTGGTGTGAGTCGTTCGGGCTCTTCGTGGTGTGAGTCGTTCGGGCCCCTCGTCCTGGTGTGAGTCGTTCGGGCTCCTCGTGGGGCCTCTTGGGGGCCTCTTGGAGCCTCTTGGGGCCTCTTGGGGGCCTCTTGGGGGCCTCTTGGGGGCCTCTTGGGGGCCTCCTGGGGCCTCTGGGGGCCTCTTGGGGGCCTCTTGGGGGCCTCTTGGGGGCCTCTTGGGGGCCTCTTGGGGGCCTCTTGGAGGCCTCTTGGGAGGCTCCTGGGGGCCTCTTGGGGCCATCTTGGGGCCTCTTGCGACCTCCTCAGAAGCGCAAAGAAGCGCTGCCCCCTGAGAAGGACAAAATGAGCCCACAACCTTCGTAAAATCAATGATTTTGCTATGAAGGAAGATGAGCGCGGCCCCCTCGGGAGGCCAAAATGGGGCCAAAACCCTCGTAAAAGCAAGGATTTTGGCTTCACAGAAGAGGAGAGTTTTTTTTCTGGATCCCCCCGTCGGGGACAGAATCCTCGTGAGGGTCGTCGTTTTTTGGCCCTCCCAGGAGTCGACAAAGACCCCTCCAACCACCCGCGGGACGCCCTCTCCAGACCCAGGGGGAGGGGGTAGGGGGAGGGGTAAACCCCTCCCCGAAGGGGAAGAAGGGGGTTGGGGGGTTGAGGACAGAGGGGGCTCGCTAAACCACTCACGCCCTAAAGGGCTGGTGGGATTTCTCAACCCACTATTCCTTCGCTGGCCAAACTGAGACGAAGGGTGACCGACGAATGCAACACTAGCCCCCGAGAGGGTTGGGGATGTTCGCCCGCGCGGCAGGAGAGCCCAGAATCGATCGATAAGTCGGATCGGCGATAAGTCGGACCACGATTCCTTAAGCATTTCGCAGGGAGTATCTTCATCAGTCTCTGCCTCCGAGCCCTGTTTTTCCCCATTTCACTCCCTCGCCCCCCCTCTGCCCCTTCCATCTCTTCCCTCCCCTATTCTTAAGTCGGGCCTGTCCCTCTACAGGGGGAATATCCAAAAATAGTCAAAAAATACTCAGGGGATATTTTTTTGAGTATTTGTTGGGATCTTTTGAGTATGTGTTGTATATTTTTTATTTTTCGTCCAAAGTCCCCCTGTATGGGGACAGGCCCGACCTAACCCTATTCCCTTTCCTCCCTCCCGCCCCTCCCGCCTCCCCCGCTCTTTCTCTCTCGCTGCCTTCCTTCCTTCTTCCTGATCCTTTCTCTTCATCCTTATCGTCTCCATCTTACTGATCCTCCCCCTCCCCTTCTCATCCTCCTCCTCATGCCCCTTCCTCCATCCCTCTGCCGTGCAAGCAGCTACCCGTCGCAAAATCATTCATGTCAAATGGGTGGTCCATGCGTTTCGTCTGAAACGTCCCCGGAGTTCATTTCTACAGCGTGAAAGTGTGAGCGCATTCGTTCTTAAGGTTGCAACATTTCCAGGACGGAAGCCAGTTCCTTTCGCCGCAGTGCCGCGCGCTTTAGTCTTACAGTGTTGTGACAGTTTCAAGGATTGAGCGCTGTTCGTTTTCAACTTGTACCGCTCGCCTCAGCGCCGTGCATGTCCGTTGCTACGCAACAGTCAGGAGGGAGGGCTGCTTTTTTCAAATGGGATTCTCGCCAGAGGCTTCTTTGCTTAGAAAGTCTTGGAGCTTCAGCAAATGTAGCACTGAACTGATACAGGGCGGCTTTTCGTGAAAATGGAGCTCTCGCTTGAGAGTTCCTCGGAGTTACTGAACGCAAGCGTGAGCTTGTGCAACAGTCACATTGGTTTTGGGGGGGCATCCTTCTTCGAAAGGGGGACCTGGCTGGACACGTCGTTTTATCGTATGACCCTCATTTCTCGCATTCCTGATTTCGCGCCAGAATTATGAACAAGGCAGTTCCTCCTTCAAAGCGGAGCCCTATCCCAAATGGCAGGCCAACCTGCGCTGGTTCTTCAGGGGACGCCTCTTGCGGTTAAGAGGAGAGCGGGGAGCGCTTCTTGCAGTAGACAGCTTTGTGGGGACGTGTGAGGAAGGGACTTCGGACGGGAGGATGTTTTGCAGCATCTCTGATGCATTTTGTGTTTACCCTTGTTCCCCTCCTCCTCCTCCTCCCCCTCCTCCTCCTCCTCCTCCTCCTCCTTCCTCTTCATCCAACCTCCTCCTCCTCCTCCTCCTCCTCCTCCTCCTCATCCAACCTCCCTCCTCCTTGAGCCTCTCTCCCCCACAGTGCCCCGTTCCCGCCCTCCGAAAGGACCCCCCTGGCGTGGGGAGACGCCCTGGGCGGCACGGGCGGCGGCGGCGGCTACGGGCCCAGCCTGGCGGATCGGAGACGCCTCCGGCGAGCTCCTGCCGCCACGCGCCCCTCCTCCTCCTCCTCCTCCTCCTCCTCCTCCTCCTCACTCCTCCTCCTCCTCCTCCTCCTCCTCCTCCTCCTCCTCCTCCTCCTCCTCCTGGCTTGCCTTCTTGAGAGTTCCCACGCCCACTCGGGCGGCCGCCCTCCTCGCGCACCCCGCCCCCCTCGCGCACCCCTCCGTCGAGCCACTTTTGGCGATGGACGCCTGGAGCGCTGGCAGGGCCCAGGGGACATGCCAGAGCTCCGAGGCAGGGATTTATACATGACCACCGCCTGGAGGGTCAGTTTTCGGAGCCTCGGCAGGCGGTGGATATGGGCACATTCGGGCCCCCAGGGGCCGAAATGTATCCATATCCACCGCCCGCTGGGGCACCAGGACGTCGGTTCCCAGGCGGTGGAAGGGGATAAATCCCAGCCTCGCCAAAGCGGGCACTGCGACCTGAGGGATGTATGCCCACGCCCACTGGGGGCTTCAGTCGGGACACGCTACGGGGGGTCGAAACGCGGGCGCAGCGCGCCATGCTGGGCCGCAGGGCCCGCGCAGAGGTTCTGGGGAGGATGTGGCCTCCCGCCCGCCTTGCCCGCTTGGGCCGCCCCGTGGCCATGACCCCTCGCGGGGGGCCCGCGGCCTTCGTGAAGTCCGGGCAGCGGGCCTCGGTGCACTGGAAGAACGCCTGGCAGAGCTACTGCGCCCTGTACGGCAGGGGCCTGAACGACCCGGCGAAGCACGACGACGCCCACATCCTTCGCCGAGCGCGTTCCGCCACTCGCAAAGTGCCTACTCGCAGACGTCCGAAAGACACCTCTCTGCTTCGATGTAATTTTATCGTAGATCCCCCGCGGGGGACGCAGGCCACTTGCGAGTAGTTACTTGGCGAGCAGTGGCGCTCGCTCGTCGAATCCTGGGCGGCCCCAGGCCAGACGCACGGCTCCGCCTGCCAGAGGCCTCGCCCCTAGAGGGGGGAGGCTTCTTGGGGCCCGCCGCCGGCGCCGCGCCCGGCGCACAGGGGGGGAGCCCAGGAGTAAGTCGGGCCTGTCCCTCTACAGGAGGAGTCATTCAAAAATATTCTACAAGTAGTCTGGGGATGACCTGTTTGACCACTACTGCGTGTTTCTGGGGCATCTCTGGGCTACTTCAGACGTTTCGCCCGCAGTCCGCGTGCAGGGGGACGCGCCCGACCTCAGCCCAGGAGCTCGCCAGGGTCACGGCCCCGGGCAGGTCTGCTGAGGCCCTCCCTCCTCCCTCCCTCCTCCCTCCTCCTCCTCCTCCTCCCTCCTCCCTCCTCCTCCCTCCTCCTCCTCCTCCTCCTCCTCCTCCTCCTCCTCCTCCTCCTCCTCCTCCTCCTCCTCCTCCTCCTCCTCCGTCCTCTGAGGCCCTGCCTCAGTCCCCGGTCCGACGCCCCAGGCGGGCGTGCTCGCGGCTCGGGGCCCAGCGGCCCCCCCTGGGAGCGGGGGCGGCGCCTGGCGCCTGTCGCCTCCCCCCCGAGGCGAGCCCCTCCTCCTCCTCCTCCTCCTCCTCCTCCTCCCCCTCCTCCTCCTCCTCCTCCTCCTCCTCCTCCTCCTCCTCCTCCTCCTCCTCCTCCTCCTCCTCCTCCTCCTCCTCCTCCTCCTCCCCCTCCTCCTCCTCCTCCTCCTCCTCCTCCTCCTCCTCCTCCTCCTCGTGCCCCGGCCCCTGACACCCGCCGCTGTCTCTGCTGTGCATCGGGGGCGGAAAAGAGGGGGGTGATGGCCAGGGGGGGGTGGATATCATGGCGTGGGCCATGATATCTCCCCAGATTTCATGGCGCCTCTTCTTGTTTCATTACGTCCCTGGCCCCCCCCGCTGGGCCGCGCACATGCCGCCGGTCATGATTTGCACCCCTTCCTCTTGGACACCCCCCTCTTGGCCGCTCCCGAGTTCAGCCCGCGGGCCCTGGGGGTCCCGACCGCTTCTCTGCCGAGGCGGGGATCTGTACATGACCGCCGCCTGGAGAATCCATCTTCGGAGACCTTGCAGGCGGTGGATGTGGATACATTCGGGCCCCCAGGGGCCAAAGTGTATCCACATCCACCGCGCGCTGGGGCACCAGGACGTCGTTTCCCAGGCGGTGGACATGGAGAAATCCCCGCTGCGCGTCTCTGGGGGGCAGTTGTCCGTCCCGGATCCGTTGTGGACGGCCCTCAGATCTGTTTCGGATGGCCCCCAGAGGGCCGGACATCAGAAATCCGCTGGCCGAGAAAATCATACCTTCGGAGATCTGAGGCGGAGCCCGGTCTGGCCTTGGAGCTGCGCGGCGGTCACGGGCTTCATCGACTATGTCGGACATAGGGCGAAGAAATCTAGACATATCCACTGACCCAGGCCTGGTCCATACCCCATACTGGGCCCAGGAGCGAGCGGTGCATGCGCCCTCCTGGCATGGTCAGGGAGTCATGTACACCGCTCTTGGGCCCAGGATGGGTCAGGGGCAACGTTCTGGGGGAGAGGCTCAGGGGGGAATGCGTCGACCCCGAATCGCCCATTCATCGCCGATGGTCGATAGCCCACCCCTGCTCAGGAGCCTGCGTGTTTGCTACCGGGGACGCATCGCCGGTCGATCGGCGATGTCTCGCCGATCCCAGGTCGATGCTTCCCCCCCCGAGCCCGTCCTCCCCGAACCTGGCCCCTCCACGGGCCAGGCCCGGGGCGGCGGGCACGTGCAGCTCTCGGCGCCCCAGGGCAGATCGCCTTCGCGGACCTGCAGAACGTGGCGGAGGAGCAGGGCGTGCCGGTGAACGGCCAGCCCGCGTCCTGGGGCGCCAGGAGGCCGGCGGCCTGGCCCGCCGCGGGGGAGCCGCCGGCCAAGAGGCCGCCGGTCGGGTCTGGGGCCGGGGGCGGCGCCGCTGCGGGCGGCGCGGCGAGGGACCCGGGCAGCGGGCGGGCGAGAATCGAGGGAGGAAACACGGGGGCCTGGAGGGTTTCTCCGAAGGGCTTAGGCGACCCGTCCTCCTCCTCCTCCTCCTGCTCCTCCTCCTCCTCCCCCTCCTCCTCCTCCTCCTCATCCTCCTCCTCCATATCAGCCGCCGTCTCCTGCTCTAGCCCCTTTCTTCGCGGCCCAGCAGGCACCCCACGCAGAGCAGCTTCCGCCCCCAGGGCACCCGTCATGTCATGCCAGCGCGGCTGGCCATCCATATTTACTTCGCTCGCGTTCTTCTGGACGATACTCCCGAGATGGGGTGTGTATAACCCGCTCAGCACGGTCGCGCCGCCGAGAAGCTGGCAGAGAAGCTTGCAGATGCCGAGACAGTTCAGCGCTGACGACGTCATCATGTTACCAGCCACTCGTGGGAGGCAGCTCGCCCCCACCAGCCCCGACCACCAGCACCAGACCTACCTGCACCGCTTCGTCAAGAGGAGCTTCGGCAGCGGCCCTACCAACAACAATCAAGCGGGAGTGGCCAGCGCGATCTGCAACCTCTACCGTTATCGTGTGACCGCGCTGCCCGGCCCGCCACCGAGCATTCAAGGACGTGCAGGAGCAGTTCGCCTTCGCCGAGGAGGACTCGACACGAAGTTCACTGTTGCGTCTCCACCTCTACGGTCAGGGCTCGCCAAGCACCACTACGTTCGGGTCAAGACGATCAACGAGAAGCTCAAGAGGACCAACCAAACTCAGAACGTGAAGCACACCAGGAGCACGCCGATCATCGGCCCAGTCCTGAACGACAACTACGGCAAGGACGGATTGCTTCCCGCCAAGATCAGCAACGTGCTCGGCGACCCAGGCGCTACACGAGTACCTGGAGCGGCAACCGCTGCCATCCACTACACGCTCGACGTGCACGGCAGGTGCATTCTGAACAATTCCTGGAAAGCGGGGCCCACGTACTTCAGTGCCCACGTGCAGGCCACAAGTCTCGACTACATTGCAGTGCCTCACGGCCTATGCTACCACAATACTTGTTGCAGAGTCTGGTGGCGAATGATTAAGGCCCCCCAACTCATCAATTACAACGTGCCGCGCGACCTTGTCCTACCGAATACAGCCGCCAACGTCTTCATCCCGAATGTGTTCATCGACTTAAAGAGGACCGCCTGGGACTGCGACAAGACGGCCCTGGCTCTGCAGAAGGGCAAGTACCACAAGGAGTTCAATGACGTGACGGAGTTCTACTTCGGCAAGCACCAGGACAAGCTGAAGAAGTTGGTCGGGGACAACACAGTGGACGAGCTCGCGGGGCTCCTCGCGATCCTCATGAAGGAGGCAGCCATGCCCGTCTTCGAGCGCCCGAAGTCCAAGCTCGAACTGTGCCACCAGCTCAAGGACGAACGTCTGCGGCTACCCCAGGCGTGCACCAAGCTCAGAGAGGATTTCTTCGGGACCGACCCCAACTACGAGATCGAGTACCACATCGAGGTCCTCTCACGAGCCCTCAAGAAGCAGCAGCGCCAGCGCGAAGCAAGACGTCAACACCTCGAGGAGTGCACCTACGAGGATAGGCAACGACGAGAACACGCCGAAGTTCTTTAACAGTCTCGCATCAATGCCAGCTCCAAATACGGCAAGCGCAACCGCAACTACAGCCGCGCGGCCAGAGCGCGCCCCCGTGTGCAGGAGTGGGTAGTTCACATTGCAGCAGACGGCCAGCACGGAGGGTTTAGTGCTCGCCAGCTCGACCTCGAGGAGGAGCAGCGCATCTCGAAAGAGACCTCCCACGAGTTCACCACAGAGCACAACCTACAAGTTCGCCAGGAACAAGGGGACGCCAAGGACGGCATCAAGCGAGCTATCTACGGCGTCACCAAGCGGCTCAAGTACTTCAAAAAGTGCGCCCCCGTGCCAGACTGGATGCTGCCCGCCGAGATCTTCCAGATAACCTTCCAGCCCACCTACTTCACCAGGCAGCAGCCGAAGTCGACTGGCGTGGGCTACGATGACGAGCTCGCCGAGCCCCCCCTCGCGCAGGAGAGCTGCGTGCCAGTCCTCAACCACGCGTGCCGCGTCGGCTTCAAGTCCAAGCCGTGGCCACTTCCACCTCCTCAGGCTCGCGGCTGCTGGCTTCATCGGTGTCGCGAATACCCCGCGCGCCAACGACGCGAAGGAGAAGCCTACCAGGCCAAGGGCGACCTCAAGCTGAAGAAGTCGCTCACAGAGATGATCAAGCAGGTGATGTCCAACACTCAGCAGATCGCCTGGGTCGTTTTCGCCGTCTACAGCACGTATCCGATGTCGGCTCAGTCCGAGGGGATCAAGGCGCTCCATGCCTGCAGGAAGGTCTACGCGGACAAGCGCAAGGAGGCGGGCAAGGGACGCTCGCTCGCTTCGTCCCCCTGCCCCGCGGACGTGGGCGACAATACTAAGAGCAGTCTCACAGAGCACGGGGAGTTAGTGGGCCAGTTCAGTGTGGAGACAGACCTCTACAAAGTGAAGCACCTGAAGTTCAGCAAGTGCGATGACAGCTACCACGCGAAGTTCACACTGTATCCCGTGCAGGGGCCCAGGATCGTCGCCGAGGCCGAGGAGGTTCCGCAAGGGGAGCAGCAGCAGCAGTGCAACACCAAGGACAGCAACCACAGCGCGCTGATCCAAGTGGGAGCTACGGCGAAGACGGACGAACCACTTAAGGGAGTCATGGAGGACGAGCCGGCTGCGTGGAGGGCAGGGCTATGACTACGAGTATGAGAATATGGATGGCCGATGCGACTACGCCTCGTTCGGCAAGGTGATTGGCGTGCGTGGCGCCGAGATCACAATGAAGGTGCCGCTCTGAGCGGCGACGGCGGGGGCTTATCCTTGCGGCCGAATGCACTGCCTTGCCCCCCAATGCCGCTCTACCTATCTATCTATCTATCTACCTCCATATCCTCCTCCCGCTCCTCCTCCTCCTCCTCCTCCTCCTCCTCGAGTCGCCTACGGCCCAGAGGAAACCGTGTGCGGGGACCATGACCAGGATGTCGTGGGATCTTGTGCATGCCGATCTCGGTCGTGGTCCATGTCGGCCGTCGCCGATTCGCGAGGATGATGCACGCACGGGAAGCTGACCAACATCGGCGCTGGCCACGATCGTCTCGAGGTTTCCGCGTTCAATCTTGGTCATGGTCTCCGTTTTTTTTTCCCCCTTCAAGCAGCGCCAGATTCCAACGGTCCGATTTTGTCTAGCTGGCATTTGTTCTCCCGATTTCGGCCCTCGGGGGGCCGCCTTCGGGCCCTGGCGCCAGCGAATATGGATCCAGGGCTGAAACCTACCCCTGGGGACGTGGTCGGGAGCTCCTTGGGGTCGCGCGTTGGAAAAAGTCATCGGCGGACGTCAGGGATCCATGCCAAGTCAGAGGAGGAATCCATTCCACTGCCGATGCTTGCCCCTCGTTTTTACTCTTCTCGGCCGTCCAGGGCCCTCGTCGCCACACGGCCAGGTTCGCCTCGGAACCCTCCTGTTCAGAACGCGCCCTAGGACACGTATAGGGAACAGCCGTGCATCACCCGCGAGTGCCAGACACCTTGTCTCACCCCTCCCATGTGCTTCGATGTCCCCCTTTCGACAGATCGCCGATGCGATAATTTTCCCCAGCGGAGGAAGGAACACGGCTCCCCCCGTCGCCGGAGTACACCTCGGGGTAACACCAGCGCGTGTGTTTGCGTATACGTTTCCGGCAGCTATTGGACAGACGCGCCGTTGAGGGAGGATCTTAGTGGAGGAAGAAGAGGAGGACGGGGAGAGAGGAACGTGTGGGTGATGATGATGAGGCTGGTGGTGATGATGATGATGACGCTGATGGTGATGATGACGATGGTGGTGGTGGTGGCGGTGGTGGTGATGAAGATGGTGATGCTGATGATGACGGTCATGGTTGTGATGATGCTGCTGCTGATGTTGATGTGATGTTGATGGGGATGGTGATAGTGACGGTGATGATGATGACGATGATGTTGGTAATGATGATGATAGTGGTGGTGGTGGTGCTGCTGACGACGATGATGAGGATGAGGATGAGGATGATAACGATGATGATGATGTTGATGATGATGATAATGATGATGATGATGATGATGGTGGTGGTGATGATGATGATGATGATGATGATGGTGATGATGACTATGAGGGCGCGCCGCTGGATGACCCCAAGGAGGGGGGGTTGGGACCCCCCCCTCTCCCCGATCGGTCGTCGGGGACCCCCCCCTCTCCCTCCCTTTCCCGATCCGTCGTCGGGGAAGCTCCCCCCCCCCCCTCCCCCCGTTTGGCCGCCAAATTCGACCCCCCCACCACCCCTCCCCCCCTTTCGCCACGGCGCCCCCGGTCTCCACAACCCGACCCCTGCCACCCCTAACACTAATCCTCACCCTTACCCTAACCCCTAACCCTTACCCCAAACCCAAACCCTAACCCCAAACAGTACTCACTACTCATTACGCACTATTCACTAACCACAGTTCACTACTCGCTATTCGCTACTCCTTTCTGACTACTCGCTGTTCACTACTCACTACTCACGACTCACTACTCACTACCCACGACCCACTACCCACGACGCACTACTCACTACTCCCTACTCCCTATTCACTACTCAGTACTCACTACACAGGACTCACTACTCACTCCCCACCTACTCAATACTCACTACTGAGTAAACTCAAAACCATTTACCCACTACTCACTAATCACAAATCACTACCCACTAACCCTTATCCATTATTCACTACTCACACTTCATTACTCACTTCTCACTGCCCACAACCCACTACTCACTATCCACCACTCGCTACTCCCTACACAGTACTCACTACTCACCACTCACTACTCGTTTGTCCGTACGCCCTACTCGCTACCCAATACGCACTATTCGCTACCCACGACGCACTATTCGCTACGCTCCCACTACTCACTACTCACTACTACCTACACCCTACACCCTACTCACTACTCCCAACTCACTATTCACTACTCCCTACTCACTATTCACAAGTCACTACTCACAAGTCACTACTTACAACTCACTACTCACTACTCACTACTCCCTACTCGCTACGCACTACTCCTTAGTCACTACTTCTTAGTGACTGTGGATTTTTCCCCACTATTCACTACTCACAACGCCCTACTAGTTACTCACTACTCACTACGCGCTACTCCGTACTCGCTACTCTCTACTCGCTATTCGCTACTCGCTACTTACCATTCACTATTCAGTATTGTCTTTTCACTGCGCACTACGCATTACTCACTGCTCACTACTCACTCCTCGCTATTCGCTACTGTCTACTCCCTCATCCCTACTCCCTGCTTACTACTCACTATGCACTACTCACTATACACTACTCACTTCTCCCTACTCACTACTCACTACCCATTACCCACTACTCACTACTCACCACCTCACGACTCACTGCGCACTACTCACCATCAAATACCCACTTTCCACCAATCGCTACTCAAAATATTCTACTCCCTACTCGCTACCCGAGAGGCCTCCTCCCCAGCCCTCTGTTCGGCGCAAAGGGGGGGAGGGGGGGGGTCGAACCCCCCCCCTTGCCAGCGCCAAGGGGGGGAGGGGGGGGGTCGAGAATCTCACCCCCCCCGTTGAAGGGGGGATGGGGGGGGGGTTCTGCGAGCACCCCCCCCTTTTGTGAATTCATGGCCATCCACGGGCGCGCTTCCGATGATTATGATGCTGATGATGCTGATGATGGTGATGATGATGATGATGATGATGATGATGATGATGATGATGATGATGATGATGATGATGATGATGATGATGATGATGATGATGATGATGATGATGATGATGATGATGATGATGATGATGATGATGATGATGATGATGGCGGTGGTGGTGGTGATTAGAAAGAGCGTGTTCTACCGCTGCTGGCGGAAAACCGGGGGGGGGTCACTACCGGTTCGAACCCCTCCCCCCCCTCCGGAAAACCGGGGGGGGTCACTACCTGTTCGAACCCCTCCTCCCCCCCCCAGTTCATCATGAAAAGGGGGGGGTCACTACCGGTTCGAACCCCCCCCCCCCTCGAACTCGAAAACCGGGGGGGGTCACTACCGGTTCGAACCCCCCCCCCCCCTCGAAAACCGAGGGGGGGTGCGGACAGTGGTGGGGACGGTGGTGGTGGGGACAGTGGTGAGGGGACAGCGGGACAGTGGTGGGGACAGTGGGACAGTGGTGGGGACGGTAGTGGTGGGGACAATGGTGAGGACAATGGTGGGAACAGTGGGGACAGTGGGACAGTGGTGGGGACGGTGGTGGTGGGGACAGTGGTGTGGGGACAGTGGGAATGTGGTGGAAACAGTAGGACAGTGGAGGGTACAGTGGTGGTGGGGACAGTGGTGAAGGCGGTGGCGAGGACGGCGGTGGGACAATGGGACAGAGGTACAGTGGGGACAGTGTGGGGACAGCGGGGACAGTGGTGGGAACAGTGGGACAGCTCAGTGGGACAGCGGAGGAGTCAGTGGGACTGGGGACACTGGGGATAGTCGTGGAGAAAGTTGGGAGAGTGGAGCCGTGGTGGGAACAGTGGTGGGGACAGTGGGGACACTGCGACAGTGGTGGTGGCACTGGTGGGGACAGTAGGGGCGATGGTGGAACCAGTGGGGACAGTGGTGGTGAGGACAGTGGTGCTGGGAACAACAGTGGGGGATGTGGCGAGGACGGTGGTAGGGACCGGGAGTCGTTTGCTGGCGGTGAGAGGGGGGGGTGGGGAGCGGTTCGAACCGGTAGTGACCCCCCCCTCCAGTTTTCGAGGGGGGGGGGGTTCGAACCGGCAGTGACCCCCTCAGTTTTTGAGGGGGGGGGGGGGAGGGTTTAGGGGAGGGGGGGGTTTGCCGGGGAGGGGGGCGGGGTGGGTTCCAGCAGGGGGGGGGGGATTTTCGGAGGGGGGGGGGGGGAACCTCAGGTTCCGGAGGAAAAGGGCAGCAATTGTCCACAGTAGAGCGGCGGTGGATCACGGTTTTTCGGTGATTATGATGCAGATGATGCTGGTGGTGATGATCATGGTGGTGATGATGATGATGATGGTGGTGGTGGTGATGATGTCGATGACGATAATGACGACGACGACGATGACGATGCTGATTCCGATGATGATGATGATTCTGCTGATGATGATGATGGTGACGCTGCTGATCACGATGGTGATGACGCTGATGGTGGTGATGATGCTGATGGTGGTGGTGATGATGATGGTGGTGGTGGTGATGATGGTTATTATGCTGGTGATGGTGATGATGATGCTGATGCTGCTGCTGATTATGGTGGTGGTGCTGATGATGCTCATGATGACGACAATAATCAAGAGGATTAGGGTGAGGATGATGACGATGCTGGTGCTGGTGATGATGATGGTTGTGGTGATAATGATGATGGTGGTGGTGGTGGTGATGATTATATGGCTGATGGTGATAGTGATGGTGATAGTGATAATGATGATGATGATGATGATGATGATGATGATGATGATGATGATGATGATGATGATGATGGTGGTGGTGGTGGTGATGATGATGATAATGATGATGATGATGATGATGATGATGATGATGATGGTGGTGATAATGATGATGATGATGATGATGATGATGATGATGATGGTGGTGGCGTCGATGATGATGATGATGATGATGATGATGATGATGATGATGATGACGTCCATGATGACGATTCTGATGCTGATGAGGCGTAGGACGAGGACGACAACGATGATGTCGATGTCGATGTAGGCGATGATGGTAATGGTGATGATGATGATTTGTGATGGGACTGATTAGGCTGATGGTGAAATCTATCCGGATCTCGACGATCAATATTAGTGTAATGATGATGCTGATGATGATTCCAATGATTCTGATTATGATGATGATGATGATGATGATGATGATGATGATGATGCTGATGATGATGATGATGATGATGATGATGATGATGATGATGATGATGATGATGATGATGATGATCATGTTGACGATGATGGTGATGGTGGTGGTAACGATGATGGTGATGATAATGGTGATGGTGATGAAGATATTGTCGGCGACGCCGACTACGATTATGATAATGATGATGTTGTTGATGATGACGGTGTTGTTGATGACGATGATTATGATTTTGATGACGGTGACAGTAAGGATGAATGATCAGGATGAAGATTATGATGAGTATGATTCGGATGACGATGATGATGGTGATGCTGATGACGATGATGATACGTATGTCGACGATGACGATGACGATGACCATGCAGATGGTGTTGACGATGATGATGATGATGATGATGATGATGATGATGATGATGATGATGATGATGATGATGATGATGATGATGATGATGATGATGATGATGATGATGATGATGGCTGATCAGGCTGATTTCCCAAACATTGCTTGCACTTAGGGGTTCTTACTTATCTCTCTACAGGAACGGGGCAATGTTCGCCTCGTGGGGCCCTCTCGGCAGTCCTTTGGGAGCATTCTTGGGCCGTCTTGGAGGCGCGTGGGCCGTCTCGAAGCCATCTTGGACCATCTTGGGGGACCCTGGGCCGTCTCGACGCTCTCTGTCCTGGCGCTCTGTCTGGGCCCTCTTGGGCCGTCTTGGAGCTTTTTGGAGGCTCCACAGAACCTGGGGGTGCGCTGACGAGCTCTGCCCCCCCCCCCCACTCCTCAAGCGGCATTTGGGACCCCAGGGGAGGGGGGAAGGGGGAGGGGGACAGCCAAGTGTCGCACACGCCTTTTCACCCTCAGCAGGCGGGGTCGGCGGATTTTGCTGATGATGATGGAGATGCCGATGACGATGACGAGGAAAAGGGTATGAGGATGTTGATGGTGATAGTGATCGTGATGGTGATAGTGATGGTAATAGTGATGGTGATGGTGATGGTGATGGTGATGGTGATGATGATGAGGACGATGACGATGAAGACGATGCTTCTGGTGATGATGATGCTGCTGATGAGGACGATAATGCTGATGATGTTGATGCCGACGATCCTTGTGACGATGATGAGGGTGCTGATGTTGACGATTATGATGATGATGATGCTGATGCTGATGCTGATGATGATTATGATGATGGTGGTGATGGTGATCATGATTATGATGATGCTGATAATAATGTTGCTGCTGATGATGCTGCTGATGATGCTGATGCTGATGATGATGCTGATGCTGATGCTGCTGATGATGTTGATGTTGGTGGTGATGATGCTGATGATGAGAAGTGATGCTGTGACTTCGACGATAATGTTGATGATGACGATGATGCTGCTGATGATGGTGATGAGGATGATGTTGCTGATGCGTTATTGTTTGTTGTTGTTCTCGTGGTGATGGTGATGCTGCTGATGATGATGGGGATGATGCGATGCTACTTCTGCGGTGGCTGCTGCTGCTGATGATGATGATGATGATGATGCTGATTATGATGATCATGATGACAAGCAGGAGGAAGGAGGAATAGGATTAGGAGGAGGAGGGGATGGATAACGTGGAAACGGAGGAGGACAGTTGTGACGCAGAGTAGGAGAGGACGGAGAGGCGGATGATGAGAGGAGGAGGAGAAGGAGGAGGAGGATGATGAGGAGGAGGAGGAGGAGGAGGGCTATATACTTGACCCTAATCAAAGAACTGCTTCATTCTTCCATTGAGGCAAGGCTGCGCTGGTGGACAAGGTCAAGGCTCTGCAGAGGTCCGACCCGACGGCAAAGGACGCCTGGCAGACGTATTGCGAAGATAGCTACAGGGGTGTCAAGGACCCCTCTCGCCACGAGGCAGCGTCCTTGGAGGCCTTCCTGTCCACTTACGGCGTCGACTAATGTGGTGGGCTCCTTGTTAGAGCTCGCGATTCGTAGACTTTCATCTGCTTTATATAATGTATGTTTTCTTGTGATATCTTTCGTTCATGAGCGTGTGTGAGGGAACCGCAGTTCCCGTTTTGCTGCTGCCTTGTCGTTCAAAGGTAGCGTTGGCGCCTTAGATCGATGCTCCTGGTCGACTAGGCGAAGTTTCGCCGGACTCACTTCGTCGTGGTGCGCGGGCGTTCGGTATAAAAAGTGATTGAGGGACAGGGGCAATCTGTCGTCACACGATCATGTGCGTGATGCTGCGCAGTCGAGTGGCAGCCTGTCGTTGGACGGGGTTGCAGCTTAGGAGACCGCACACAAAAGCTGGGGCAGAAGTGAGGGCAGGGATGATTATGTGTTCTTGCAGCTACGCATGCGTTCGTAAGCTTCGAGTGTTGGCTGATTGGTGCGAGTTAGAGGGATTGGGCGGTAGATGGACTCTTGGGAGGGGGAGGAGGAGGAGGAGGAGGAGGAGGAGGAGGAGGAGGAGAAGGAGGAGGAGGAGGAGGAGGAGGAGGAGGAGGAGGAGGAGGAGGAGGAGGAGGCGAGGCGGAGGAGGAGGAGCTGGCACAGGAGCTGGGGGCGACAACAAGAGGCAGCCTCCGCGCCTCGCAGAGTGGCGCTGCACGTGCGGCGCCCCCAACTGGCAGGAGCGTGGCAGCTGCTGCCGCTGCGGGGCAGCGCGGGCGGGAGCCCCTCTCCGGTGCCCCCGCCCTGCGGCCGCGGCTCCCGGCGTCGGAGCAGCGCCGCTCTCGCGAGCGGGCCCCGTGCCGAGTGCGTGCGCCTCCGCGGCGCCCGAGGGGGCGGCCGCAGCGGCCGCTGCGCAGGAGGGCGCCCTCGAGGCCTCCGCCGCCCCGCCTCGCCGGCGCGCACCCCGAGGCCGCGGCGGCGGAGCTTCGGCGCGAGGCTGCCGAGCTCCGCCGCTGGGCCGGCGCCTGGACCTCCTCGAGGCCTGCGTGACCAGGGCGGCCGCCCGGGGCGGCCGCGGTCGAGGCCGCGGAGATGGCGCCCGGCGGAGGCCCGCAGTCGCGCAGGCTCTCTCCAGCAGGAGGTGGGCTCCGGGGGCCGCGGGTGCAGGCCCAGAGGTGCTCCTGGGGCGCCGCCGCCGCCGCCGCCCCCTGGAAAGTCTGACGAGGCGCGAGTGCCGGGGCGCGCCCTGGCGGTTCGATCTGGAGCCCCGACGCGCCCACGAAGACCGCCCTCGAGTCGCAGATCATGACGAGGCGCAGGCGCAGGCGGCTGGGCGCACCCCGGGGCAGGTGGGTTCGGCCGGGAGCCCCGACGTACTCGCGAAAGCCACTCTCTCGACGTGCTCGCGAGAGCCACTCGCGAAAGCCGCGCTCTCGAGGCGCAGGCTTTGCGCGCCAGCTCGGCGCAGGACCCCCCGATCGCGCGCGGTGATCCAGCGCCGCTCACCTCGACGCCCTCGGGGTCGGAGGGCCGCTGGAGGCCGGCGCCCGCACGCAGGGTCGGGGGTGCGGAGGGAGGGCTGGGCAAGAGGGAGGAGGCAGCGGGGGGGGGACTCGGGTTTGGGGGGGGGATGGATACCGCTGGCATTAAGTCGGGCCTGTCCCCCTACAGGAGGAATACGTATTCAAAAATAGTCAACAAAAATGTCTGGGGACTATTTTTTGAGTATTTTTGGGCATCTTTTGGGCATTTTCTGAGTATTTTCTATTTTTCGTCAAAAATCCCCCTGTAGGGGGACATGCCCGACTTAAAGCTGGCACCAGGGCTGCGAACGATCATAGTTTTGGATGGGCTGCCCCTCTGTTTTCGGCGTGGGGCCCTCCCCCGTGGAGTTCTCTTCGCTCTCGACGTCTCCACGGGGCCGTGGGCCCTCGGCGACGCGGCGCGCGTGCTCGATCCACGCGCGTGCTCGATCCACGCGCGTGCTCGATCCGCGCAGGGGGGAGGGGGGGGGGAACGGATTGGAGGGCCGGGCTGGCGGGAGGGTGGAGCAGGAGAGGGGGGCGGGAGTGGAGGGCCGGAGGGCGGCGGACCCCCGCCTCCCTCCTGCCTCCTCCTCGTCCTGAGGAGAGAACGCAGACACAGCCCATCGCCGATCCCCAGAAAATATAGGGAAGATATGGGAAGTGTGTGGGGGGGGGAAGACCAGCACCGAGGACGTCTCGGAAAGCGGGGGGAATCCTGGGATTGTTGCGGGCATTTATCTGTGCGTCCCTGGGCCCCTTCGCGCTTCCCTCCTCCCCCCTGCACCTCCCTCCTCCCCCCAGCCTCCCCTCCCCCCCTTCTCCCCTCTTCCCCCGGGGGAAGCACGACCGGGGGGGAGGGATGGGGGCCCAGACATGCGACGTCCTGATTTTTTCAGGACGGGGTCTCTGGAAGTCCCGACCCGTTCCCAGGGACCGGTTTTTCATCCTGAGTCGTTTTTTGACGGTCCCGAGGCCCGGCGAGGGCCCCACGAGACCGAAAATGGCCAAAAACTTCCCGCCCTGATTTTTTTTTTTACGACGCGATCATGTCTGGGGGCCCTGGGGGCTGGAGGCGCCGCCCGAGCGCCGCCCAGCCCCTCCTCCGGGCCCACCCGGCGCGCCCCGTCCGGCCGCGAACGTCCGGCCGCGAGGCGGCCCTGCGGGCGGGGGCCCGCCGCGCGGCCGGCTGCCGTGCCGGCGGGCTCCCCGCCGCCGCCGCCGCAACGTCCTCTTCCTCCTTCTCCTCCTCCTCCTCCTCCTCCTCCTCACCCTCCTCCTCCTCCTCCTCCTCCTCCTCTCCTCCTCCTCCCTTTCCTCCTCCTCCTCCTCCTCCTCACCCTCCTCCTCCTCCTCTCCTCCTCCTCCTCCTCCTCCTCCTTCCTCCTCCTCCTCCTCCTCCTCTCCTCCTCCTCACCCTCTCCTCCTCCTCCTCCTCACCCTCCTCACCCTCCTCCTCCTCCTCCTACTCCTCCTCTTCCTCCTCCTCCTTTTCCTCCTCCTCCTCCTCCTCCTTTTCCTCCTCCTCCACCTCCTCCTTTTCCTCCTCCTCCCTCCTCCTCCTGCGGAGGAAAAGCGGGCTCTTCGGGCCGACCATGCTGCTCACGGGGCACGAGGGCGAGGCGCGCGCCCGAGCTCTCTCTGGCGGCCGCCCTCGCCCTCTCTGGGCCCTCCGCCGCCTGCCTCGCTCCCTCGTTGGCTCGCTGCAGGCGGGGCACAGTGCCGAGCTGGCAGTCGTTGGTGGATGTGCTCAGAGGGGCCCCCAGTACCCCAGATTTCGTAATGAAAGGGAGGGGGTCTGGACTCTCCAAGACAAGCCATTTCAGACCCCCCCTCGTGGGAGAACCCTCCAAAACATCGTCCCCAGACCACCCCAGACCCTCCAAGATAGCCTGGAAGAGACCCCCCCCGAAATGAGACCCCCCTCCCTTTATTACGAAATCTGGAGTACCCAGATCTGTGTGCGAGGAAGTCGGAGTGAGGACGGCTCGCTGTCGGAGGTCGACTGCAGAGGGGCCACGCGCACGTGATTCTCCATGCTTCCTTTACGTGCCCGGGAAGGTAATCGTGTGGAGAGGCATTTGGAGGTGTCTGGCCAGACTCCGCCTACGCTCTAGTTTCCAATCTTGATCTCAAAGTGACCACGTGCATGCTGTCGTTTCAGTTCCGTCTCTCGAGAGATGCTTGCTCTCGCGTTTGCTTCGCACCGCGCTGCGGACCAACAGGTGGGCAAGCAGGGCTATGCACTGCTGTGTTGGCAGTGTCTAGGCGAATCCTCATCGTGAGTGTGGTCCCGTGAGGGGTGTGTGCCTTCCGTCGCGGCCGCGGCGGCTCTAGCCTTGCGCTTGGGCAGGGGAACCGCAGTGCACGTTTACGACTCAGCGCGACGAGAGGGAGTTCCCGTAGATCAGGGCCCACAGACTGGAATTGGCATCTCCCTCCACAGACCTCGTGCCTCCGTCCGCTCATCCTCCCATTCTGGGGGCGGGGGAAGGAGGACACGGGCGGCGGGGAAGGAGGGAGGCCCTGGTCCAAGTCGACCTTGGGACTCGCAAGCGGCTTCAGGCGGCAGCCCACGGGAGAGGGTCGTCATTCGAGGCCGCAGCCGCGGAGCCGCACTAGGCAGCCTCGCGCGCCACGAGGTCTTCTGCGGGGAGTTCTCGCCCGACGGGCGGACCATCGCGACGGGGTCCTTCGACAAGAGCATCTACCTGTGGAACGTCGCCGCCCCGGGCGCCGCTCGCTCGTCGCGCACAAAGCACCTTGGAGGAAGAGGAGGGGGGAGGGAGGGGATATAGGTTAAAGGGACCTCCCTCCCATCCCGTTCCGCTGTGCTGAATTTTCCGATTCGCCAGTCCTGGCGTCGAGTGTCGAATCCTGCCTTGATCGGCGAGAGGATGGATGCTGGGGATGACCAGGGGGAGGAAGAAAAATAATGACATGAATGCGCCAATGAAGACGAGGAGGAAGTGGAGGAGGAGGACGTGGAGGAGGAGGAGGAGGAGGAGGAGGAGGAGGAGGAGGAGTAGAAGGAGGAGGAGAAGTTGGAGGAGGAGGATAAGTTGGAGGAGGAGGAGGAAGAGGAGCAGCAGCAGCAGCAGCAGCAGGACCAGCAGAGCAGCAGGCAGCACCAGCAGCAGCAGCAGGCAGCACCAGCAGCAGCAGCAGGCAGCAGGAGGCGGCAACGGCAAGTCGACGACGACGCTCCGCGGGCGCCCTTCGCCTCGGCGCCTCCCGCTGCGCCCCGCCCTCCCTGGCAGCTCGCGGGTCCTCGGTGGTGGTGTCGGCCCCTGCGCTGGACGGCATCATGAGGGAGCCTCCCTCCTGACGCCTCAGGAGGGAGCCCTTCTCAACCTGAACACCACTCTCCTCCGGGCAGAGAGAGTGGCGTTCAGATCGAGTGCTCCGAGTGGCTCGATGCGCGTGGGGGGTTGGATCGCGAGGGGGGCGGGGGTAGAACGGGCCTGTCCGGCGCTGGGCGTGGAGGGTTGGATCGCGTGAGGAAGTGGGTTCGGCGTGCGGGGGGTGGCTGGAACGGGCTGTGGGGCGGAGCGGCATGGGGCTGCGTCGGCTTGTCCACTCTGGTGTATTGGCAGAGGAGGGCATGATTACAGCAGGCGCCAAGGCGAGAGCGCCCTTCGGGGACGGCCGAAGACGACCAGCCGAAGATGAGCCGAATGCAAAGGCACAGGGAATACCATGCCGAAACCGGTCTGATCGACAAAACAGAAAGAGTGCTTTCTGCCGCTGCTGGCCGGGGGGGGGTTTTCGGGGGTGGACAGAACCCCCAACAGTGACACGTCGATTAGTGAATTGTCCGTTTTCGGTTCTCGAGAGGGCGCTGTGGCCGTTATTTTCCAGGCTTGCGCCCGCCAGATTTGGGCCTCAGGTCGTTTTCACTTAACACGTTTTACTAAAGGGGGGTCTGTCCATCCCCGAGTTTTACCCCCCCCCAATATCAGGGGGGGTCTGGACCTTCTCCCCAGGACAGTTATCACTCGGGGGGTTGAAGCCCCCACCCCCTCGCGGGGGAACTACGAAGGGTCCAGAACCCGGAGCAGATGTAATTTTGAAAGAGATCGGCCGCCGGCTCAATGCAGCGCTCCTCCACCTCCTTCTCCCTCCTCTCTCTGCCCATGTTCCTCTGCCTCCCCTTATTCTCCTTGTTTTCCCTGTCCGCCTCGTTTTCCTTCCTCTCCGGCTGTCCCTCCGCCCTCGCCTTCCCACTCTCCGTCTGACCTTTTCCCCTGCCCCTCGCCCTCCCCTTCCCGTTCGCCCAAATCTCGGCCTCCGTCGCCGAGGTCTACGGGGAGTGCGAGAATTATGGCGTCATGAAGGGCCACGGCAACGCGGTCCTGGAGGTGCACTGGAAGCATGACGGTGGGAACAGCGGGTTGCTGAGCTCTGTCTGGCGAGGGGGGCTTGTGATGGTGGTGACGACGACGATGATGATGATGATGACGATGATGATGATGATGATGATGATGATGATGCTGGTGGTGGTGATGATGATGGGGATGATGACGATGACGACGATGATCAGGATGCTGATGCTGATGATGCTGATGATGATGATGATGATGATGATGATGATGATGATGATGATGACGATGGCGATGATGGTGATGATGAAGATGACGACGATGATGGTGATGATGATGGTGCTTATGATGATGCTGCTGCTGATGATGATCATTACGACGATGACTAGGACGATGAAGATGATGATTCTATCACGCTGCTGAGGATGACGGCGACCATGACGATGCCAATGACAACGACGACGATGATGAATATGATGATTCTCCAAATAGGATTGCCATATAGGAATCCTAGCTCATCATAAGTAATCGGTCTTTAGCCCCCTCCACTTTTTCCAATGGCACCCCCCCTTTTTCCAATGCACCCCCCCTTTTTCCAATGGCACTTGCTTGCTTGCTCTTGCGTACTCGCTCTCGCTTGCTTGCTCTTGCTTGCCCTTGCTTGCTTGCACTTGATCGCTGGCTCTTGCTTGCTTGTTATTGCTCGCTTGCGCTTGCTTGCTTGCGCTTGCTTGCTTGCGCTTGCTTGCTTGCGCTTGCTTGCTTGCGCTTGCTTGATTTTGCTCCTACCGTCCTCCTCCCGTCCTGCTCCCGTCCTCCTTTCGTTCTCTTCTCATCCTCCTCTCGTCCTCCTCTCGTCCTCCTATCTATTTGGAGTCAACGCTGGCTGATATGACGATGATGAGATGCTGATGATGATACGACTGCTGCTGTTGTTGATGATGCTGCTTGTGCGTATTACTATTCTCATGCTTATGGTGATTATGGTGATGATGCTGCTGGTGATGATGATGATGATGATGATGCTGGCACTGATTATGATGAGGATGATGACGATGCTGATGATGATGCTGATGATGATGCTGATGATTATGATGATGCTGATGCTTATGCTGATGATGCTCAGGACGATGATGATGACGATACTGGTGATGATGGTGATGTTGATAAGGATGTCGACGGTGACCACGCTGAGGATGATGATGATGATGATCATGAGTATGAGTATGAGTATGATGATGCTGATGATGATGATGATGGTAGTGATGGCGATGGTGATGGTGATGATGATTATAGTGGTTTCAGATGATGTTGATTATGATGATGATGATGATGATGATTAGGATGCTGATGATGATGACGATGATGATGATGATGATGATGATGATGATGATGCTGATGATGATGATGATGATGATTATGATGATGATGATGATGATGATGGATGATGATGGTGACAGTGATGGTGATGGTGATGGTGATGATGATGGTGGTGGTGGTGATGATTCGGATTATGATGCTGATTAGGATGATGATCATGATGCTGACGATTATGATGATGATGAGGAAGATGACGATAATGATGCTGATGATGCTGGTGGTGGTGAGGACGATGATGATGCTGCTGATGCTGATGGCCACGATGACGATGGTGATGATTCCGATGACGAGAGTGGTGGTGCGGGTGATGATGATGATGGTGGTGATGATGATAATGTTGTTGATGATGATGATGATGATGATGATGATGATGATGATGATGACGATGACGATGACGATGATGATGATGATGATGATGATGATGATGATGATGATGATGATGATGATGATGATGATGATGATGATGATGATGATTATGGTGATGGTGATGGTGATGGTGATGGTGGTGATGTCGACGAGGAGGAGGAGGCGGAGGAGGAGGACGATGTGGAGTTGGAGGAGGAGGAGGAGGACAAGGAAGAGCAGGAGGAGGAGGACGAGGAGGAGAAGGAGAGGAGAAGGAGGAAAAGGAGGAGGAGGAGGAGGAGGAGGAGGCAGATGATGAACAGGAGGGAGCAAGGAGGGGCATGTAAAGAAATCTGCAGCAGGAGAGATGGGAGAGGGGAAGGGGGGAGAGGATGGAGAGGAGGGCTAGAGCGAGGGGGTGGTGGGAGGAAGGATGAGGGATGAGGGATGAGGACGGGGATGGATGTGGGGGGGGGGTGTGCAGGACGACGGATGGCAGGAGGACAGGTAGGAGGGTGACGTTCCTTATTCCCTCTGCCCCTCCGCTCTGCCCTCTTCCTTCCTTCCGGCGTTTTTCCTCCTTCCTGTTCTCTCCCTACTCCCTTCTCCTTCCCCCTCCCTCCTCCCCCTCCTGCTGTTGCAGGTTACCTTCCCCCGGGCGCCATGGGGCTTCTCGGCGCTGATGGCCTGCCCCGTATACGTATAGTTGAGGCCTCACTTCTAAGCGTACCGACGCGTCTGGGTTGCGGGAGGCACCCAGCTGTACACGTGCTCCGCGGACAAGAGCGTGTGCGTGTGGGACCCCGACTGCGGGAAGAGGCTGAAGAAGCTCAACGGGTGGGATCGGGAGGTGTGCGCAATGCATGGACGGGGAGATTCTGTTCGACTAGACTGGGCACGTTTGTGAACCTGGGACTGGCAGGAGGATCGTGAGGCGGACCTGAGCGAAATCCGTGGCTCGATCGACGGCGGGATAGCTCAGGAGTTGGAAGCACCAGAAGGAGAGATGAGCGGGACAACGACCAAGACGCCAGGAGGAGGCCGAGCGGAGGATGATGATGACGATGACGATGACAATGATGATGATGATGATGCTTATGATGCTGGTGATGATGATAAACATGATGATGCTGATGAGGATGAGGATGAGGATGATGATGATGATGACGATGATGATGCTGCCGATGATGCTGCTGATGATGAGGATGATGGTGATTATGATGATGACGATGATGATGGTGATGGTGATGGTGATTGTGGTTATGATGATGATGGTGATGATGATGTTGCTGACGACGATGCTGCTGCTGCTGCTTATGATGATGGTGACGATGATGATGATGAGGAGGAGGACTAGTTTAAACCCAAGATTCATCAACGATGTTGGAAGAAACCCAAGAGGACGAGCGGATGATGATGCTGATGGTGATGGTGCTGGTGATGGTGATGGTGGTGATGATGATGATGCTGATGATGATTCATTAAGTTATCAATAATGATGATGATGGTGATGCTGATGATGATGCTGGTGATGATGAGGATGCTGCTGCTGATGATGATGATTATGATGACGATGGCGATGCTGATGATGCTTACGATGATGATGATGATGATGATGATGGTGATGATGATGATGATGAGTTGATGTTGATGTTGATGTTGATGATAATTCTGAACATTCTGTTGATGCTGACGATGGGCAGGTTGAGGATGAGGATGAGGATCAGGCTGGCGATGATGCTGCTGGTGATGATGCTGATGGGGATGATGATGATGATTATGATGATGGTGATGATGATGATGATGATGATGATGATGATGATGATGATGATGATGATGATGATGATGATGATGATGATGGTGATGATGATGAGGATGATGATGATGATGATGATGATGATGATGATGATGATTGTGATGATGATGATGGTGATGCTGATGATGATGCTGATGATGACGATTTTTTGGTGATGATGATGGTGGTGGTGGTGGTGGTGGTGATGATGATGATGCTGATGATTATGCTGATGATGATGCTGCTCCTGCCGCTGACGACGACGATGATGATGGTAATGAGGATGACGAGGATGCTGCTGCTGCTGCTGATGATGATGATGATGATGATGATGATGAGATGATTATGATGATGCTGATGGTGATGCTGCTGCTGCTGATGATGCTGATGATGCTGATTTCGGTGGTCATGATGATGATGGTGGTGGTTGTGGCGATGATGATCCTGATGATGCTGATGATGACGATGATGATGATGCGGATGATGATGATAATGATGATGATGATGCTGATGATGATGATGATGATGATGATGATGATGATGATGATCCTGATGATCCTGATGATGGTGGTGGTGGTGGTGATGATCATGATGATGATGCTGCTGATGACGAAGATGATGTTGTTGGTGATGGTGATGGTGATGGTGATGGTGATGGTGATGATGATGCTGATGATGCTGATGATGCTGATGATGATGATGATCATGATAGTGAGGAGGAGGAGGATGAGGAGGAGGAGGAGGAGTAAGAGGAGTAAGAGGAGTAGGAAGACGAAGGCGAGGACCACCGCTCAGACTGAAGAGTTCCACGGGTGAGGAGGAGGAGGAGGAGGAGGAGGAGGAGGAGGAGGAGGAGGAGGGGGAGGGGGAGGGCGAAGGGAAGATGGAGGAAGGAGGATGGAGGAGTCAGGACGAGATTTATGAAGGCGTAGGGGGGGTGCAGGAGAGCGGACGGATGAGAGAGGGCGCAGGGCGGAGGGAGTAGTGAGTGGGGCCACCCTTGGGCCATCTTGAGGCTGCCTTGAGGCTTTGGTTCTGGGCGTCATGCTGAAACCATCTGGAGACTTACAGATCAGGCGGCGCGCAGAGAACGTGTCGGAGCTCGGGGGGTGAGATCGCAGTGGAACGGAGACCCCCAACCGGGAAACCGTTTCGTTTCGTCCGTGTCGTGCGTGCGGGCGAGGCGAAGCTGCGTGGGCGCGCGAGAGGAATGACCCCGCTGTTGCTAGGGCGAAGTCAAGACAAATGATTCCCCCCCGCCCGCCCGTCCAGCGGTGGCCCGCGGTGTCCCGCGGTGACCCGTGGTGTCCCGTGGTGTCCCGTGGTGTCCGCCGTTGCTAGGGCGAAGTCAAGACAAATGATTCTCCCCCGCCCGCCCGTGCGTCCGTCCGTCCGTCCGGCGGCGGCCCGCGGTGTCCCGTGGTGTCTCGTGGTGTCCCGTGGTGTCTCGTGGTGTCCCGTGGTGTCCCGTTGAGTGAGATCGATCGTGAGATCGATCGTGAGATCGATAGTGAGATCGATAGTGAGATCGATAGTGAGATCGATAGTGAGATCGATGTGGTGCCCCGAGGTGTCCCGTGGTGTCCCGTGGAGGCCCGTGGTGTCCCGTGGTGTCCCGTTGAGGGAGATCGATAGTGAGATCGATCAGTGTCCCGTGGTGCCCCGTGGTGGCCCGTGGTGTCCCGTGGTGTCCCGTTGAGTGAGGTCGATAGTGAGATCGATTGAGTCAGATGTTGGCCCCCCCCCCCTCTCCCCCCCACAATCTCCTTATCACCCGAAGGGTGGTCGTATAGGTAACCTTACGGCTTCGCGTCATGCTGGGCCCTCACAGGCGGGCCCTTGTGGCCCCTCTTGACCACCTCGGAGGCTTCTTGGGCCCTGCGGGGCCGGAGCCCCCTTGGGGGCCAAGCGGGGCCCTCCTGCTGGGTGGCGTCCCACTCGGGCGACCCGAACCATGCACACAAGCGATCCTGCCCTGCCCAGCCCGGGCCCGGCATCGGCCTCCTCCTCCTCCTCCTCCTCCCCCTCCCCTACCCCTCCCCCTCCCCCTCCTCCTCCTCCTCCTCCTCCTCCTCCTCCACCTCCTCACCTCCTCCTGCTCCTCCTCCTCCTCGTCCTCCTCCTCCTCCTCCTCACCGATCCTGGGCCCACGATGAGCATGGCCAGCATCGGTGGATGCGCATGGTCTTTGTCTCTCTCTCTCTCTCTCTCTCCCCGCTACCAGAGCTCCGCGACAGCCCGCCGCCTCCAGTGGGGTCGGCCGCGCTGGGGCGCGGGAGCTTCCCCCCGGCTGCCCCTCAGTGGACCGCAGGAGGGCGGCTGGTCTTCTGCCAGGAGGCGGGAGGCGGGGCAAGAGGTAGAAGCACTGGCTTGGCATCGCTCGGACGTGTGTTTTTTTCCTTCGGCGAGGACCATCGAGGAGCATCCTTGATCATTTGGCGAAAAAACCACGCACGAAACCGAACAAGAACACAGGGAATGGACGTCCGAGCGATGGCCAGCTGGGGCACCAGCAGGGCAACAGCTCAGAACACTCCAGCAGTCTCGCGCTCCCAGAAGAGGGGGGACCGGCGGACTCACCAGACGCTGTCGGCAGCCCCGCTGCCCACTTGCTCTGTCTTGCTGCTTCTGCAGGAGAAGGGCAAGTGGGCAGCGAGGCCGCCGAGCAAGACGGAGGAACACGACGAGCAGCACGTGAATGAGGAGCAGCAAGGCGAGACCGGCGCTACGATCTCAGTCGATCTAAGTTTGCTTCACGGAAAAAAGAACGACGAGCCGAACGCGAGGACGGGGGACGACAAGGGGCAATACGCGGAGTCCTGGAGTTCTGTAGGGGCGATGGCGTTGCGCATGATGAAAAACATGCGGATGTCCGTGAATCTGCCGAAACGCACACACCAGGTCTTATACAGTACTGAGTGCAACATCAGTCGCATGAGGGGAATTATCGAACGACGATTTCTCAAACGTTCATATCAATCTAGTGCATCTTCAACTGTGTGACGCGTGTTTTAGAATTCTTGACGCTTCGCCTTTCCCAACCATCCGACCCAGAATCGATGCCCAGGCGAGTTGCATTGGTCGGGGAAGTGTGGGAGCATGCGGTGGAACCAGAAATGATTTCGCGGATTTTTTGAGATGAGATCCTCTTGGTAGCTTATTCGGAGGCCATCATGGGGCCCTCTTGAGGCGATATTGGAGGCCTTTCGGCTGTCTTCTGACACTCTCCGGACCCTCTTAGTGGCTTTCTTGGGGCCATCTCAGAGGCCATCGTCCAGAGATGGAGGGGTAATTCATGCCATCCTCCCGTCGGAGACCGAGACAGCATCTTGGGCCCTGCTGGGGCGCTCTTGGGCGCTCTTGGGGCCGCCTTGGGCCTTCCTCGGGCCCCTCTTTTGGGGCTTTCTTGGGCCATCTTGGAGCCATCTCTAGGCCCCAGAAGCCCACAGGATGTGAAAAAGCAAGAAATGACGACGACATGGATACTAGGTTTTAGAAGGATCTGGGCCTCTCGGGGGGGTCCTGGGGAGGCTTTGTGGCCGCTTGGAGCCGTCTTGAGGCGATCTTGAAGCCTCTCGGAGGCATGTTGGAAGCTATCGTGAGTCATCTTGGGCCATACTGTGCGATCTGAAGGCCGTCGTGGGCTATCTGGGGCCATCTTGGAGTGCTCGTGGGCAACTTGGACGCTCCACCGCGTCGCGGGGGGAGGGTTCCAGACCCAGCGAAAGGGGCTGAAGGTAGATGTTGGAGATTACCGCCCTCCTGGCCTTGCCGTGAGGCCGCTCTCCTGCTGCCCCCCCTCTTCGTTAACTCAAGCTTCGCGCCGTCCGCTTAGCTTCGACCGGAAGAGGTGCGCCCTCGACCCGCGAATCAAAAAACGATGTTGGAGATTGCCGCCCGCCCCTTGGGTCCCACCCACCAGCCCATCGGGTTGTGCGCGTCTTTCGTTTGCTGGGTGACCACGGGGACCAGCAGACTCTCCCAAACGCCGCCCCCACCCTTTCGACAGGGGAGTCGGGCTCAGGGATTCGAGGGGCGAGCTCCCGACTCGCGTCGGCGCCGTCTGGGTTTATGTCTAGGAGCGGCCAACTCCCAGACGGAGCCGGCGCGAATCGTGACGTTTCGCCGAGGGGGGAGGGGGGGGGAGGGGGGACGGGACAGGTCACATGATGGGCCTGTTTTCCACCACCACCATAAGTTGGAGGGGGAGGGGGTCCTCCACCTCCTCCACCTCCGCCTCCTCCTCCTCCGCCTCCTCCTCCTCCTCCTCCTCCCCTGCTCCTCCTCTCCTCCTCCTCCCCTCCTCACTCCTCTCCGTCTCCTCCTCCTCCTCCTCCTCCTCCTCCTCCTCCTTCTCCTTCCCCCCCTCCAACTTCTGGTGGTGCTGACAGGCCCATCGGGGCAGGTCACAAGCATTCTCGCGAAGAGCAGAAACGTGATGGGCTCCTGCGGGAGGCACACCGCCATCGTGAACAGCATGCAGACGTCGCGCCGCGGCGTGCCCTACCTCGT